TGCTGCAATGGATGCCCATTTGGGATGGGCAAATGTTTGGCATGAGACTAAAATGAAAACTATTTAAACTGTACAACATGAAACTATATGAATATATAAAAAGTGACTTCAGTTTATTACTTAAATACATCCTATTCTCATCTATTGCAGAGTAAAGATTTTGTAGAGTTTTTCAGCATCAAATGTATGCGAACACTACAGTTAACATAGTGTAACCTTAATGCTCAATTTAATCCGTGATAGTAATTTAGATAACATCTGCTCAGCTGCATTTGTTTGCTAAAAAACTAAAAAGAAACATCAGTATACTGTAGTAGGTCTCTTTTTTTTTTGATTAACAGACTTAATCAGTATATTCATAGTGAACACTTATATTTTGCATTGAAAGATCTTATGTACATGTGTGTGTTTTACTCAATTCTTTTTATAGATTTTATATCTACTTGAGAAAAAAATCAGCAGAGTTTCAGTGGTTCTACTTCAGTAGGATGTTCAGGCAGCTTTTCCACATCTGACCAGTGTTATTTAAATTTCCAGAAAATTCAAGGTCTTCTAAGAGCACTTCATCAACACTGAATTCCAGTCTTTCACCTGATCCTGAGCCTTGTTTGAACAACTAACTAATCAGAACTGTGAATGGTCTGCTTACGTACACTTCCTGTGGCAGGACTACGTCTCTTTAATTAGCTCCAATTCTTTCATTGCAGAACAAACAGTAACATATGCCACTTGGTGACAGGCGTCAGTGTACACAAGGACAGGACAGGATAGAGCTGCGACCATAAACACCTGCCACATTCAAAATAGAAACGTTTTACATTATGCAAAAAAAAAAAAAAAAAGAATGATAGTGATTAAAAAAGGGTGGCTGAAAGTACTGATTAAACACTGATTTCGTTGGATTTGACACTAGATTAATTTGGAAATGTTTTTAGACATTTGCGTATAATGCTTTAGGTGGGTTATTAAAGTAAATTCTATCTCCAAATACCACATGATTTCTCAGATACTAATAATTAAAAGACAATTTACAAAAGCCACAACAGTTCTTGAAAACTGAATTTATTTACTAATATATTTAGTATAATTGTATGTATAATATATAGGATATATCATAGGTTGATGTCTGGCTAAAATGAAACATGGATACATTCACACTTAAAAATTTTACCACATTCATTCAGCTTACTCACACTTATGCAAAAACTAATGAATTCAGTCAGAAGTCGGGAGCTGTTGCTGCCATTGGTGATCAGAAATCTGAGCAGATCACGAGCAGAGACATATTGAGTTCCCCAGGGTTCAATTCTTGGGCCACTGTTAATAATAATAATGATAATAACTTTATTTATATAGCACCTTTCTTAACAAAGTTACAAAGGGCTTCACAAGAAAAAAGTAAAACCAGACAAAAGAAAAGTCCAAAGTACCTGGGTATAATATAAAAAATATCTCAATTCAACATTATGCAAAAAGATCTGACAGTAAGTGAAAAGAGGCAATAGAATATGTAAAAACAATAATTAGGGATGTTGTTGTTATTCACAGCCTGTACATGCTCCTTTTATAGGTCAAATCATGCATGACAATAATGTTGGTTATCACAGCTACACAGACACACTTAACTTTTTTACAATGACTATGAATATGGCCCTTTAGACTCACTCTACCAATGTTTACACAAGGTAAATAGCTGGATGCAATTAAATTTCCTTGAATTAAATAAACACAAGATGGAAATAATGGTATTTGGCAAAATGGCGGAAAGAATGAAAGTTACTGCTTGGCTTGATTCCACAGTTATAAAGACAAAAACACAAATTATCCCAATAATCATCTTTGTGACACGTCAAAGCAATAACTAAAGCACAGGCAAAATTTAGTTTTAGTTGAAGTCATTCATGCCTTGATCACCAGCAAGATAGACTTTTCCATCAGTCTTTTGTCTGGTCTTCCATAAAAGACTGTTAGAGCATGTCAGCTCATTCAGAACACAGCTGTCAAAACACAAACCAGAGGAACTGAGCACAAAATAGTCCTGTTCTTCTATCTTCACTCGTGCTTCCAGTTAGCTGTAGAATAGATTTTAAAATGCTGCTGCTAGTTTATGAATCACTCAACAGTCTGAGACCAAAATACATTCATGATCGCCTTGAAGAATATAAACCCAGTAGGGTTTTTTAGATCTAAGAAGCAGTTAAAAACCTCAAATCAGAATGAAGCTGCTTTAAGCTACTATACTGCACAAAGATGAAAACAACTTCCTGATGATTTCAAACGCACCCCAACTACAGACACTTTCAAAACTAAATTGAATACTCTGCTGTTCTCCTTTGTTTTTGATTGACTGACTTCTCTTCTGTACTTTTATTTCCCTTGTTGCATTTGGGAAAATTTACAACGTAAACCTTAACTTTTTTTCAATTCTATTTCACTTAAGACTCATTTTATTCTATTTTAACTTATTTTATTCTGTTTTTTATTACTTATTGTTTTGAATGTTGTTTGAATGTTTTTCTTTGCATATAAAGCATGTTGAAACGTATGTGTTTGAGCTGCCTTGCTTTGTTTAAAAAAATTACTTTCCTTTTTCATTGTTGGTGTATAGACAAAAATTAATATTTTTTAATCCAAATTTTTTAATTGATTTGAGGATGTTCAGCCTAATTGTGAAACTGACACTGAGCATGCCTGGTGAAAGATTATTGTTGGGAATATACCTTTTATCCTCTGTATGAATTCACTTGTGTTGATAACATTGTGAGAGAAATATTATTGACATCGGTCGCACACGGTATAGCATAATTACAATACCCTAACAGATAAGCTAGTTGAAGCAGCAGAACCGACAGTTAAGGCAAATGCAAACATCAACGTCACCACATCACATCACCAATCTCCTTTGCGAGGAGGAAACGCCAATGTCTTTGATATTCGGGGATCACGAAGGGGAAAGTTTCATTGTGATTCTGTTGACAAGAGATAGAAAGCCCAGGGAACTCAGGAAATGAGCTGAAGGGGGCTTTGATTGCACCCAACAGCATCATGTGTCTTTATTAACACGCCTTGACCAGGTGGTTGTGAATAGGCCAGGCCTTGGAATCAAAGGAGAGGGAACGTGATGCTGCACACGCACGCATTCTTCATCCCTTCATTATCCCTCCTGCTCGCCCAGCAACAGGTACTACTCCAGTGTCAGGGCCATTTTACACACTCAGGAGGGCTTAATTCAGATGGTCCAGCCCTGACCACATTGTTATTTTTGTCATCCAAGAGAGATCAGTCTCGGCCTGACACAAAAATTATTCTTAGAAAATATGCTCAGTTCATGTCGAATGACGAATGACGAATGCCTTCAATCATGAGTCTCCTAATCCCTTTCACTGACGTATCCACAGAAAATACTTGTTCATCCCATTTGGTCACAGATTAAAGACTATTTGTTGTTGTAGAAAAGCTGTTTATTAGCCCAAACACTGACAGCCCACACATGTGAAAGGTAGTGTTATATTCTTTCTGTGTTACATAAGGACTTTGAACACATGAATTTTCACACAAATGAGAGACCAAAATAGAACACATTTCACTGTGAGGCAAAATGTCAAGTCATTTAAAAAAAATACAGCAAGTTAGTTTTGTGGGCAGAGGTAAACAGAAAAAGAAATAAATGACATCCAGCATCAGCATCAGACAGGCCTGACATGCCTCGGCGTCACTGATGTGTATAAAGCACCGGCCACACGAGCAACAGCCTGCTGCGTTAGGTTCATGGAGTCAGATCATATCAAGCTGCTGTGAAGCCTGGCAGACTGACAATGAAGTTTGGCAGGGCAGCAGGAAACATCTGGGCTTCACCCTGATCTCTATGACATGACTTGCCCGGGAGCGAGGCCTGAAGACAGAGCAGCCAGCAAAGTGCAAGTCACTGGCCACAAGCAATCTTGAAAGGCCAAGCATGATTACATCTACATCATTCTCGCCATTTACAACACAAACACAACATGACTCGCAGATCAAGGCACCGGCCACCATGTGCATCACGAGTCTAGTCAAGGTTCAGAATGGTCTCAAGATAGCAGGATTAAAAAGACAGTTTTTTTTTTTCCCATAGGTGGTGATCTCTGTCTCGCATACACTCTGACCATTTCAGGATTTCCATTAGAAAGAGTGTTCTACATATCAATCCAAGCTTTAATTAAAAAGCTGCTATATTCAGAGCCTTCGTAAGCTTGCTGGAAAATGCGCAGGCTGTCCTGCTCTTCTCCATGAGTGGGTGAAATGGTGCATTTGGAAACCAAATGAGTTCATTGTTGCCAGGCTAAAGCCTTTCATCTAATTTTATTGTCCTTAGCGAGTGACTGTCACCCTCTGGTAAACACTTGATGTTGTCATCAGCATTAGCACCATTACTCATATGCTTGGAAAGGTGACTCAGTATACATTCAAAGCAATTTAATTTGATACAGAAATGTATATTTTCATTGTATTAAAAAAAACTAGTGATTAATTAAAACAATATATACTTTGTGATGAAGGTATTTAATGTTTAAGAAATAAATATGGAAACATTTTGTTAAGTTTTGGTTAAAAATGCTGCAGTGAAGGCTTGTGTGTCAAATTTTCTGGAAACATGACTGACAGACATTTGCCTTCATGTAGTAGAGCCCAAAATGTAATTATCAAAGGTAGTGTATACTTCATTGAACTGTAAAATGTACACTACAGTAAGATCTTCATTGTACCAGTGTCTTATTTACATTTTGAAATAATAATAAAGAATAAATAATTAAAATAAAAAAGAGAACATGCTCACAGGTTAATGAATTTGGATGCCAATTGACTGCCTTCATATAAATGCTCTGTAATTTTACAGTGATATGTGCAAAGGTAGTCCGATGAAGGCCATTAATATCATTATTATTATTATTAATATTATTGTTATGGTTTTCTGTTGATTCTTTAGGTTGAAAAAGTGAAGCACCTCTCTAAAGACTGTTCTGCTGTTTGGCTGAGGCCTGTGCATCCAGCAATGATAAAAATGTTTGAGTAAAAATTACAAGCACATATTGTTTTCAATAAAAAGACATTATTTAATTAATACAAAAATAGCATTCTAAAAACAAGTAAAAACTTTAAAACATAAGCATAACTTGGTGTGACATCCGAGTCTTTCCGGTGGAAATGCAAATATTCTGACTTGTATCAGGATCTTTGGAGAGGAAATAAAGTCCACTATAAAAAGCAGTGGTGAGAGTCAGGATGAGTGCTGAACACTGATCTGCGTCTCAGTCAGGAAACTGTTTCCTCACCACGTCTGCCAGCTGGGGATCAGTCTCTGCCAACATGAGCTGCAGGTGCTGAAACTGCACAGGAGGAGGAAGGGTGGGGTGGAAACATGATGTTTATTTTCCACAGGAGCTGGTGGTGTATAGTAGCAGTCCATCACATGTCCTAAACTGACACAAGCTCTAAAAATAATCCTTTATGTGAACAATGGCATTACAGGCAATGGTTTGCACACGTGACCATTAAGCTACTACAGAGAAAATATGTGGTCAAGAAATTTGAAGAAAATTCAACATCAAAAGCAGCAATAAAGACAGTTATCCATCACAAGATACCAGAGTCTACGATGATATTTTAAAACTGTTTATTTTGTTTCACTAACAGTGGAGAAACCCAATGTTATTCCACTTAGAACTACTTGAAGGAGCTAAATTGTTTTCTAAAGCTAAATAAATTCTCTATTATTCCTTTTAGCAGAAACAAAAAAAATATTACAAAGTATAATTCGTTATTAGATAAGGAGTTTAAGATTGGCCAGCATTGAAATTACCAAGCACTTTACAATGGACTTTGATCTAATGAAAAGCAGAAAGGATATTAAAGCAATAGTTCAGGTTATTTGACGTGAGGTGAATGGGGTCAGCAGATAAAACATATTTTAGCCACTTCAAAAATGTCCACCGAAAAAAAGCTAACATCAGTTTAAGTGTACACTTTGAATATTTTCACTGCTTTATCTTGCTGTCAAACAGCCCACTCGTTTGGTACTAAATTTTCTCAACCGTTGAACCACCATATTACTCCACACAAGCAAACCTGCTGTATTAGTCACAGATCAGCTGTTTAAGTCAAAAAGAGTTAAGTGTATGTGCTTGGGAATACTGTAGTTAGACAGTGGGTGTTCTTTAGGTGGCTAAACAGGTTTTTTTCTGCTGACCCCCCGTCCCCTATCCAAACTGACAGTGCACTGATCCAAATGTACTACAGGTAATACACTAATTATGTATCTAAGTATCTCACATAACCCCATGACAAATAACCCAAATTATCACTTTAATATTGCACAACAAACTGTTACAAGTGGAGCTTGATTGTATTGTACCTTGGTTGACAATCTGTGTAAGGGATTATAGTATGTGCAAGGAAAAGAGGTAAAGCCTCACTCCTCATGCTGACATTAAAATTATATATCTTTCATTATATTTACTCCATAAATGTATGCAATGCATGTTTTTAATCTACTTAAACCGTTTGGACAAAATACTTACTGAAGTCTTAAAGTTGGGCAGTAAACTGCCAGCAGCTGTGAGACATGTCTTCTCTGTCAGAAAACCTTTATTGACCAAATCTGCCACAGTGTCCTATGAAGAAGGAAAAACACGATGGACACTTCAGTGACCTTAGAACAGAAAGTTCTGGTTCATATTGTTGCATTTTATCCTTAAACAGCTGTATTTAAGAATCTGAGTAAATAATATGATGCAACAGGAAAGTGAGCAGGGTGTTCCTTTGGTGGCATTACCTTGGTGATCTGATTGAAGATGTCAGCTAGAAACTCAGCTGTGATCTCTGCCAGGGTCTGGAGCTGTTCATCTTTTGTGCTTTCTTTGTTGGTACCATCATCTTTGCACTCACTGTGGTTCTGGAGCACCCGCAAAATGGTCGCTATAAGGGAGGGACCTGGAAACAACAGACAGAAGATATTTGCAGAATAACGGATTAAATTATTTATTAAAAGTAAGCACATTAAAAAGGAAAAGGAGGAAGGAGGAAACACTGCACCTTTTTACTGTCAAAAGCCTACTGTAAGTCTTTGTCAATACTGAGTCTGAGCAGGTATTCTTATTAAATTTGTATTGTATTCTTTTTTTAATATAAAACTAAAACACTATAGGACATACTAGTGTTCACTGGTGTTTTGTTCAATGTCCACATAGAAAAGAGCTGTGACTGTTTTGGACAGTCTCTCTTCCCACTGTGAGAGAAATGCACTAGTTTGAATGCAGTTTCCAGCGAAAAGCAGCAGCTGTGTGTGAACTGCACAGACAAAACAATCCCTTCAGTTTTGGGGGATTTGGATGTTTTTGTTGGCCAGTAACCACTTCAAACAAGGAAACAACTTGGAAACAACAACATTCACGTGGCGCATTTAGAAATATCAGTGTAGCTGCTCAGAAAAAAAAAAGTATATACGTTTTCAACTTTTCACTTGAATATCCATAGTTTTCCTAAAAACTATGACCACCTAACTCAGTACTTATCCACTATAAAGCATATTTTTTCAGTGATTGCTCTAGCAGAAACTTGGCTCAATGAGGATATAGCATGTCTTTATCCGATGTCACAATTCATTTCTGTTCATTCTTGCAGGGAGAGCAGAATAAGAGGTGGAGTCTCAATTTATTTACAAAACCACTTAGTCTTAATTTAGATAAGTCTGATGTAGAGTCACTGTTCATCAAAACTAAAAGTATAACTGAATGTACCTATAGACCACCTGATTCTGTCATCAGCACTTTCACAGATGCCCTCTACTGTACCCTGGGAATTATATGTAAGGAAGGGAAGATGTGTGTGTTACTTGGCAATTTCAATATCAACCTCCACAAAGATGAAAGAATTGTCATCTACTGTTGATTTTCTTAACACACTTTCTTCAACTTATTTTTATCCCGGGATTCATACACACTACAATAACAAGCTCATCTGCTACGCTCATTGACAACATATCAATTAATTATCTAGATTACAATATTACTGCAGGATTATTGTTGACTGATACTTCTGATCATCTTCCTGTATTCCAGTTGATTCAGACCAGGGCCAATAAGCACAGCAAATCTAAATACTCCACAAGAGATCACAAGAATTTTAATGATACTGGTGAGCTGATTTAATTACAGGTAAATTTTCCTCACTTTGTAATTTTGAGCCAGCCACTGCTAAAGAAATACTTATCATTATTATCAAGTATCATTATGAAGTTAAAGGATTCTGCAGAGGGACCCGATGGACTCAGAACTAACTCGATAAAAGAAATTGTTAATTCAGTCATTGATCCTCTTACCCATATTTTCTCCTTATCCATGATCTCAAGGTGACCATGATACTTTTACAAATTATCGTCCAATCTGATCTGACATTCACTTATTCATTGAGGTGCTCAAAGGATTTTCATTTACCTTATTGTCATACTTCCAATGATACATTTTTCATCAAATTTAGAGGTCCTCATCTTTGGAATTCACTAAGCACAACTTTGAAGTCGTCATCTTCTTTAATAACTTTTAAAAACTTTTTTTTTTTTAAATCCTTTATCTAAATAGAATTTTGTGTGACTGGGTATGTATTACATCTCTCGCACATTTAAAGTATTCAAACTTCTGTCTTGATTCATCATAATTATCATTATTATTATTATTATTTTAGATGTTTTTATATCTTTTTTACTCTACTTCTATTTGATGTTGTATTGCTTTATGTAATATGTTTTTACTGACTGGTTGAAATGAAGGGTGAAGACTTTGTAAAGCCCACTGGGCTCCCTTCTTCTCCTGCACAATTTATATATCTTTTTACTGTGTAACGCCTCACTGTAACTTCTGTGCAAATAAACTAAACTAAACTAAGCCGTTAGAAAACTTACTTGTGTCACTTTTGCTGGGCCATTGCTCCTGGCAACTATAAAGAGCCTGAAGCACAGAAAACGCCTGAACCAAAATGCTCTTCTGCTCTTGCAGGACAACTGGAGGATCATTTGGCTGGCAAAGGTCCTCACATACCACCCCACAAACAAAGTCCCATATTGCTTTGCCAGGTCCATCAGGGGCCGCTAGAAGAAACAATAAAACAATGTCTTATCTGTTAAGAGTTCACTGATTGAGTCAACAACTCCAGTGAACACGTTTAATTTCTGAGATGGAAAGCCAGCAGCTGAACTCAGTATGATGATCAGTCTTACCAAATACCTGAATGCCCTCATCTATGGTGGTGAGGAGTTGGAGGGCATGAAGGTAAACCTCTAAGCCATTCGGACTCTCTTGTCTGCGAAAACAATTTAATATTATTGAATGCTAAGGGTCAACTACATCATCAACATCATGTATTTAGTATAAACTCTGCTGTATCACACAAATAATGAATAATGTATCTGTTTTATGAGGGAACAATAAAAAACAAACTACTGGTGCATTGCATTAATATATATACAAATATAAAAAAGAGAGGAGGCAGTACCAGAAGGTGTGTTCAAAATCATAGACAGAATTAATCTGTACTTGCATAGTTGGTGCCTTGAATTCTAAAACTTCTATATCAAATTTGATATCAAGTGATGTGACTGGCTGTCGTATTCACAAATTCCCTGCAGTTTATACACATAAACTCATTAAACTGGTTCATTTTTTTTTTTTATACCTGTAAAACTTTTTTATTCCCACTGAAAATAAACATGAGCATGAAATAACAACTAACATTCTCCTGAATTAAAATTTCAGATTCCCACCTAAGCTGCTTGGCTGCCTCAAGAAGGCATGAGGCCACGTCTAGACAGCTTTCACCATTATCCTCCTCCTCCTCACTTGGCTGAGCTGTGATCCAACTCTTCATCAGCTCTTCGTCAAGATCAAACAGTTTGTCAACCAGCTCTCCAACCTTCTCAAGCAGGTCCGCTGGGAAAACACACACAGTATCTACTGATAATAACCATTTTAGAAAGCAGACAAAAGGTTACAAATAGTTAAGATAAACAGCTTACAGGGATTTTGAGTCAATGTAATTCATCTTGGTATGTCAACAAAATATTCTTTTTTTTTTTATCCACAAGTAAAATTTCATAAGCTCTTTATATAGAAAGGAATGAGTAAAAACAAAGTACTGTTGGTAGAACTGCACATGATGAAACAGAGGCTGGAGTGCACAGACGTCTGCTGTCGTATTCGCTGAAGCCACAGGGAACTAACATCTTTCTGAGAGACACAGGTCAGCAGCAATCTGCAAACATCAGAAAAGGTTAATACTTCTCTCGCAGTCTCTCTGTCTCACGTCTACAGAAAATGCAGATATCACCTGCTTGTTTCCAGAAGCGTTGGAGGATCTGTATCTCCGAGAAGAAGCAACAGCACAGCGCTGTGGACACACGGGGAGTTGCAATAAGTTGAATGAATTGCAGTAGGACAATTACAGATGATGACTTCCACTCACCCTAAATCTTGATTTTGGCTGAGAGTCAGACAAGTGTCAGGAAAACAAGCAATGTTTCCAAGGATTCCCACACAAATTTCCTATAGAAGCACAAGAAAAACCTATGACCTGCCATTGGAAAAAGGGTTATATTTTGACACAGAATGCATATAAAGAAAAGGACTTCACTCACAGTGAGACGTGGACAATGAGATTTGGCTATCACCCCCAGAAGGATATCTGTAGCTTTGAATTCCTGCAGAAAACCAGCCACATCCTGAAAAAATAGTTACATTACTAAATATATGAACCTTTCCATGATTCACTGTTCACTCCATTTAGACTCATGAGGGTAAGATAAATAACAGACACACCCGTCAGTATATACAGGTAGACAGTATGGCAAACTACATTCTCCCAAATTATCATGATGTTAAATCAACTTCTCTAAAACAGTTTCAATAGAAGAATATTATAACCTTCATGAAGGGAGGATTTGTTGTAGGACTGTCTATTAGACTGCATCACTTTTAGCTAGGTGTACCTAATAAACTGCCAACTAAGTGTATCGTTTTAATTCACTGGTAATATTTTATGAAGCAACATATTTCATCACTTGTGGCTAAATTCCCCTGATGAAGAAAATAATTTGTAACCAAAGAATGTGATGCCTATGGGACAAAGATAAAGAACTCTACCTTATCCATTGCCATATCCCAGACTCTACACAGATCTTCCTCATCATCATCAGGGAGCTGCATTTGACCTTCAGAGTCCTTCTCTGCATGCTCTGTGACCATCTACAAGACACGACCATTTTACAAACATTAAGACACCTTATCTATAAAGGGCAGTGTGCATCAGAGAGACGGCACAGAGGGACAATGTGTAACACAGTGGGGATGGGTCCATCAGTCATATCAACTGTGATTGAAAGATTTTACATTGCAAATGATTTGATCTGTAGTCTCTAAATTGGCTGATCAGAAAAGCCTGTTGTCAAATGGTTCTAGAAAATAAATGCAACACAAATTGTGTTGTCATGGATCAGGTAGTGACACTGGCAACAACAATGTTGTCCCTGTTTGGAATGAGCATACTCTAGCATCTTTTCCAGACAAATTCAGATTAAGATTAGTTGCTATTTTCTACTGAGCCCATGAATTACTGCTTCATATTTGACAATATATTTGACAATAACAATAACAGCCTGCCTACATGGATGAGACGAGTCAGGGTGCTGAAAAGCCAGTGCTTGCTGTAGACAGTGTCTCCAATGGCATCCAAATCTTCGTCCTCCTCTCCATCAGCCGTTTCTGGGGGTGGCGATGGGTTACGGTCCATTACAGGGGACTGTATTCCAGTTGGAGATGTCAAGCTATCGTTCTCCACCTCCTCTGCACCATCAACACTGCAGTCTGGTAGGGAAAAAAACAGTGATATGAATTAGAGTTGGGGAATAAGATTAAACCACCATGTGACAGAGATTCATCAGCAAATACAGATTTTGTTTCTACTAAGGTGACTAATATCTCAAGATATCTCAAGATATTGAGATGCCTGACAGATATTGAGAAGAGGTTTAAATTATTCTCTGAATGTCAGGATTTATACTTAGTTGCCAGTTTAAGTTTATTATTTACACCTAAACACATCTAAAACTAATGCCACTTAATAGAATATCCTTGCAATAAGTATTTCCTTCATTAAATCTTTAATTCTAAAGTTTAATTGCAGCAGTTTTAATTGCAATGTTGATTCAACTTCATTATCATTTCGGAGTTTATACCTATACTAGTGCTGTTGAATTGTATATGTTGGGTACTGAAAAGTCTTTATATTCTGTCCACCCTATTAATTCACTGGTGGAAGAAGTACTCAAATCTTTTACTCAAGTAAAAGTACTGATGCAACAGTGTAGAAATACTCTGTTTCTCTGTCTGCATTTAAAGTACCAACGTTGTAACATCTAAATGAACTTAGGAAAGTACCAGTTACCAGTACCAAAAGTAATCTTTTGCATTTATAATCTAAATCTGCCAAGTAACTAGTTACTAAAGCTGTCAAGTAAAATACGTTGCTACCTCAAAATGGCACTGAAGTACAGTCCTGGAGGTCTGTAGGTCTGTCCTTGGTCACTTTAGCATTTATTTTGGCTTCCAATTACTTTCAATTCAACAATTTAGCTAGCAGATGCAAATGTCGCTGTTATCGGTAGGTAATTGTCTAGCTGTCATATTCATAAACGTCTTGTCAACTCACCCATAGCGACCGCCCTCTGCAAACGTAACTAGCTGGTAAATACTTAAACCAATATAGTCGTGTTTAGTTTATCAAAGCACAAGACGTTTCAAACAGCCTCCATTTGACTTGAATCACTAACTGCGCATGCGTTAAAGCTGTACGTACTTCCTTTTGTGGTCGACCACCTCAGGGTTTAAAATATTACTGCTGCCTCCTACAGGGCGCAGGGGGAATGACAGGGTATCGAGGCTATTGAGGTGTGGCTGGAGGGAGGATGAAGCATGTACTGTAGGCTGCATGTACCTTTTTTCATTAGCCCTAATCCAGAGCTGTGTGCTGTCTTGAGTTTAGTGCTCATAAAGTTCACTATAACCTCACTGCAGTGATTGTAAAGTTTTAGTGACTCATCAGCACTGGTTCAAAGTCACACAATACATTTACAAATACTGTACTTGAGTGCCATTTTTAGGTAGCCTACATGTACTTTACTTGAGTATTATGTTTCCATTTTCTGTTATTTTACACTTGTACTCCATTACATGTCAGAGTGATTTATATGATAATTGTGTTCCCCTTTCTGATAAGGCATCAAGGGGTTTGTGAGCTGTAATAAATGGCTTTATTAATATTTGACAAATCATTCACCAAGGCTTTAGGAACCGTTTCTGTTTGTCTGTATGTGGGATTCCAATGGGGCCAATGGGTGTCAATATTCTGGGGCAGACAATATAGGTAGGACCCTTTCATTGAGGGACAGGTGTTGTTAGACGGAGAGGGCATATAGTTTTTTGACCGCAACATTGTGTTACGTCACGCCAGGTATCCTGCATTTATAGATTAAAATATCATGTCGTTGGGATGTTTATGGGCACTGCTTGACGGAATCCTGTGTGTGTTTTATGGACTACAACGGTGAAAATAAACTTTGCATCATAAACAATAATAGGGAAAATTGAACGATATTTCTACTATACATCAGCACGTCACGTCTATGCAGCCCCACAGCGACTTAAAGTTTTAGCCTTAGCCACTATTAAAGCATTAATAGGAAAAACATCTGGGTTAGCAGTTTGTGGAAATCATCCTATAGCATGACACTCTGACACTTCGAGCTCTTTCATTCATTATACGGAAAGGGCTGCGGGACATCTGGACCAACATCTTTTTTATTAGCTGCAAACTTATTGTGATATACGCATTTATTATCTTATACATAGACTTTGGCTAGCTGTTGATATGTATGCAAAACTTAAAATTGTACAAATATAGAGTCAATACAGTAAAATGTAAAACAAGGTTTGCAGTTATAAATGTTCGTATTACATTAATAAAGGGCCTTGGTTTTCCCGATTTCTAATGAGGCATTAGCAGTAGTGATTGACCTGCAGTTGTAAATATTAATAAATCATGTGCTCTAAAATCAAGTCTGCAGCTGTACAAGTTAATAAGCTGTTTACGAATGGATTTTGATCCAGATGTCCTCCAGGTCTTTTCCAGAGGTACAGTATAGGCAGTCCAACAGCCCATTGGAGAGGTCTCCTCAATGAATTAAAGAGCTAAAAGGACAAAAGTGTCACAGTCTTGCAGCCCAAAATATGTTCTTATTAATGAAATATAAATATAAGTAATCTATAAAGTATAACTAAATGATATATTAACCGTCAATAAAAACCATTATTTACAGCATATAAATCCTTTATAAATGGTGCCTTACAAGGAAGTGCTACAGATAAATTTAATCACTTATACCTTACAGATCCTGATTAATAATTGGCCAATAATCAATTAATTGTTAAGGAATGTTTGAAGCAAAAAAGTTGAAAATCCACTGGTTATATCTTCTAATAGTGAACATTTACAGTAAACAGAATCTCTTTAGATGGTTGATTGGGCAAAACAAGATGTCTTCAAGTCAAGTCAAAGAAGACGTGCTTTGTCTGTTTGGTTTTGTGTGTCATTAACAGCACAGTCAGTGTCGCCTTTACATACTTTCATGCAAACAGAAAACTTGGCTCTGGCACAAAGCAAACACAAAAGCTTGTTCTGGCTGAGCCTTGGCACGATTAAATGTAGCTGGAGTTGGAAAACATGAAACATGTTTCAGTTGCATCTACTTTTTTACTTGAGAGTAAAGGTTATAAAAAACAAACCAATGGGTATTTTGTTTCATCACTGTTTTGGAGAGCCTGCCAAGTACTAGTTTGAGGGCGTTACGGAAAGTCCAGTAAAGTGCAAAAAAAAAAAAAAATTATGTTGGTTGGTGGAGACATGAAACCTAAATTTAACAAGAATCTCTTTCACTCTACATCACAAGATTCCCTCTCCAGCACACAGATCTCTTCCTGTGAATAAAATCCTAACTTTCTTGTAACTAAAATTCTCATTTTCATTCTCAACTCTTGAGTACATTTTATTTTACATTACAATCGACTGTAGTAAATGTAGTAGTAAATTTTAGAAACACTACAAAGCCTGCATACATTTTAAATAAAATTACTGCTTAAAAACTTCACTGAATGTAGAAAAAAATACTGCAGCAAAATCATGTATTTATACTCTTCTTTTTGTTGTTCAGTATTAAGTGTCAGTTCAGTCTGTTTTAATGTAAGTTTGAATGTTAAACAGTATTATTTCAACATGTATTACAAAATGATGAATGTTCCCTCCACTAATCAGAACTGTCTTCAGGTAATTTAGCATCAGCACTGTCCGACCAGATTCAACACAGATACATGCTGTCAGACTGCAATATACATTTTACTCATTACGCAGCTGTCCTCTGGGAGTGGTGCTGTTTGCACTTGGAGGAGCTGCCACTACAATCGAGAACATGCAGAATAACATCTTATGTATTTGCAAGTTATAACCAAGGGTAAAAAAAAATGAACAAACAGCTTTTGTAAAACTGAATGTGTAAGATGGGATGTAAAAGATCAATTCACCAGCTGGAGTAATTAATATGCTCTTGAACTGTATAACAGCCAGATACAGATACAGATAGAGGCAGAGCACAACCATATTCCCATGACTTTGTTTGAGAGTTGGAGAGTTTGCCATTTAATATGATGCCAAGTTTTATGAGACACTGCAGGTAGGATGATTGCAATCAAGGATGTGGGCCTGATAATCAGCAGCACATCCTGTCATTCATAATCCTGATGCAATTTAGATGAAACAGTGCATTGTCTTACCACATTAAAACAAATATTAACAGACGCCCTGGTAAAGTTCAGTTGTTGAAGCCCTTGTTGCATCTCCATCTCTCTCTTTCCCCTCGTTCCCTGTCATTTCAATACTGTAGCCCACCATGTACTACTATCAAATAAAGGCACAAATGCCAAAAAAATACCCCAGAAAACTAAAACTAAAACTAAAACTACATTAAACATATACACAACGCAAACAAACTCAATTTCATTATCCTTGTATCTTGTCAACTGATGTCATCAGTGATCATGGGTCAATCAGTCCATGAAGTTACGGGCCCTCTCTGTGTCCCTTTCATTTTTAAGAGACAGCTGATGAAAAAGAGAATATTTCAACACCTCACTTTGTCCTGCTGTATATTCTGACACATGCTAACTAATGGGTTACAATTAAGTTTCATCCCTAAAATCTCTAATAACCAGTGTCTAAGTCAAACCAAATCTTCCTTAATTTTACAACAGTTCTGGAAAGCATTAATGAATGAATCCATAGTCCCAGTTTTCAGTTCTCTGATATGCCACTGCCATATTTATGAATTCTATCTCACACAAAACACATTTGATACATTATCTTACATTGGATTGGCCTAACTGCAAATTTTTATTACATTTTTGTTTAATCCCAACATTCCCTCCATTTTAAACTAACATTATATTTCTGCAAGAATATACCAGTTTATATTATAGAATATAGTTAACTAAAAAATGTCAAAAATGAAATGTTTTTATCAAGCACATCTTTATTTTTCAAAGAATGCCTTGTAAACAAGAAAAGTTATGGAGCCTGTACATTCAGTTCTGGTAGTTTACTTTGTGTGTATTCTTGAGAACTAACAAACACATTGAATGCTTTTCCTTTCTCATGAAACATTTTTGATGCAGATATTTTTTTTAAAATAATTAATAACATCCATGTTTGCATGTACAGTTGCAGTTGGAAGTTTATATACACCTATGCTGAAGTCATTAAAACAATTTTTTTTAATCACTCCACAGATTTCATGTTATCAAGGCTAAATAACATAAGTTAGTTAAGAGTTAATTGGAGGTGTATCTGTCCTAAGTCCCTCTTTGCTTGACATCATGGGAAAATCAAAAGAAATAAGATGAGATGAAAAAGATATGGACCTCCACAAGTCTGGTTGGGAGTAGTTTCCAAATACCTGAAGGGTCCATGTTCATCTGTATAAACAACAGTACACAAGCACCATGGGACCATGCAAGTGTCATACCACTCAGGAAGGAGACATGTTCTGAATTCAGAGATTAATTTACTTTGGTGCAAATGAATCCCAGAACAACAACAAAGGACCTTGTGAAGATGCTGCAGGAATCAGATACGAAAATATCTCTATCCACAGTAAAACGACAAGGGGACAACAATTTTACTTTCTAGAGAAATGGCCCGTTGTTTCATCAAACAAAAATTAACTTCTTGAAAAAAGGGTGAATAACACCATCCCAACTGTGAAGCATGGGGCTGGAAGCATCATTTTGTGGGGGTCCTTTGCTGCAGGAGGGACTGATGCACTTTACAAAACAGATGGCATCATGAGGAAGACATCATCTTAAGACATCAGCCAGGAAGTTGAAGCTTGGTCGCAAATAGGTCTTCCAAAATGACAATGACCCCAAGCACACTTCAGATGGTGTGGTAAATCTGGCTTAAGGACAACAAAGTCAAGGTATTGGTAGTGGCCATCACAAAATTCTGACTTCAATCCAATTGAAAATTTGTGTGCACAACCGAAAAGCACACAAATTCATGTGTAAGTAAGGATGCCTACAACCCTGACTCAGTGACACAAACTCTGTCAGGAGGAATGGGCTGAGATTCCAGCAACTTATTTTCAGAAGCTAGAGGAAAGCTGCACAAGACGTTTGACCCAAGTTAAACACTTAAAAGGCAATGCTACCAAATACTAACAAAGTGTATGTAAACCTCTGACACGCTGGGAATGCAATGAAAGAAATAAAAGCTGAAATAAATCATTCTCTCTATAATTATTCTAAAATGCCACGTTCTTAAAATGAAACAGTGATAACCTACTTAAGACAGGTAATGTTTATTAGGATCAAATGTCACTGTGCAAATGTATTTGGCCAAGGTGTATGTAAACTTCTGACTTCTACTGTCTTCTTTCCTGGTTTTGCTGGTGCATTGCCATCATTTTTGCAAATAGTGTGACTGTGAGCAGGAACATGTGTTGTGTCATATCCGTGCTCACATCCTCACATGTGGGTGTAAAATTCAAACAAAACAGATCCCTGTGATAAAAAAAATATTGCTTCATAACTACCAGTGGTCAAAAATACAAAGGTTACCTTTAATGTGCTTCACAGTAGCTTTATTATAATATTATGGAGAATTGTGGCTAAATAAAATATGGCTACTATTTAAATTGGGTAAAAATTTGTTCTAATAGCAAACAAATTGGTGATCAGTAGTGTATAGGTCTGTCAGTCGAGCCCTGATACCTCACCTGGTGATAATTATTCAATATATCAGTTTTATTTCTAATGGACCCTGTAGCATTATATAATCTGAAAGGTCACAGATTTAGGTATAACACTGGCTTCAGTGTCCATCCTGAGATCAAGTAGTCTGAAGAATAAAGACTGTTCCCCAAAATCAATATAGTTACAAGAGACATGCAAACACGTATAACCTAATATGCCTTCACATTGAATTCATGAGGTTGTATTTGAGGTTCAAATTACAGGACTGCTCATTAATTTGCAACATTGTCTATAAAAGGACAGAGGAATACAATACAGAAAAATCTGTGCTGGTAAACAAATCTTTTATCTGCCTCCAATATACAGCATGGTAATATTGTCAAACCATGCCCTGAATGAAATCTCGATGAAAGGTGATTTAAAAAAGCAACATCCTTAGTGGAAACACTGATTCCTTGTATCTAAAAAAAAAATACATTTAACATTGTAGATTGATTGAGTTTGTTAATGATCCACCTGCCTATCAATTGCAAAGCAGATGGCAGATAGGGTGACGTAGGTTGTGTTTAAGGCAGCATCATTAGGTGACTCTTACACTAATGTCATTGTCTCTCATCAGATCTCAACTTTCCTTTTAGTTATATAGCTTTGTCAATATTGTCCTTGTGCCTAAGTTCATTTATGCTCATTAAAAAGTCAATTATTACAATTTTATCTAATTTTGTTAGTTGTCCTTAGGGTCAAAAATGACCCGCCTTCACTAAACTCCTAAAATGCTTTCAAGAAATGTTTATTTTGTGTTTGAAATTGTTTGAACTTGAGTCATGTATGGGATCATGGAAAGTTGATGCTGCACCTGCACAAGAAAGTTTTAGTTCTGTGTAAGATCAATCAGTAGCACACATAAACTCAATTGCTTGTGTGTCTGTGGTTCTGTGTAACTGACTCTGTGACTGTGATTCTAACTGCCAGGATAAAAATGACCCTAAGACAATTTTTGTACCCTGGTGGTGTACAGCTTACATAGAAATAGGAATAAATGTGATTTTTTAACTTTTTCTAATGTTGGATTCACTCTAGGAAGAGTAATAAAATTTCAAGTTAAAAAATTTTTAGGGAGTTTCCCTAACAAAGGTTCATATGTAATTTGGCACCTGTGACATATGTGGTAAGCCTTGGACATCCTTTCAGCACATATTTGTCTATGGAATAACACCAAGAAGAAAATGGGAGGGGTCAAAATATATGCAATCTGAATATAAAGGGCCATTGAGTGCTGTCTGACTATTACCTCCTTTGGTGACATCAAGCCCACAGTGGCAACAATGGGGTGGAGACGTGTGTCGCTGTGTTTCCTTGCTTTGTCTGTTGCCATTGTCACTGATGTTCAAGCCAGACTGGGTAAGATGCTTTTCAGGACTGTGTGAATGGATTGTTGTGATTAATTTACACATACTGTATAAATGTACTCGAACTGCTTTCTATACTTTTTTCTCTCTTTTTTTTAATTTTATTTTTATTTTTCTCAGTTCGCAACCATGTCAACAGCATCTGCAGCACATGGGGCAGGGGGCACTTCAAGACATTCGATGGCAATGTATACCAGTTCCCTGGTATGTGTGAGTACAACCTGGCCTCCGACTGTCACGAGACCTACCAGGAGTTCTCTGTGCACATAAGGAGGAAAGAGGAAGGTGGAAACCCTATAGTCAGTTATGTGGTGGTCACCATCAATGACCTCTCATTCCACCTCAGCAAGAATCTGGTCAATGTGAATGACCAGCTGTAAGTAAAAGACCTGTGAAACTAGCTCTGCTTCTCTCTTCTGATGTGTTCATGATAATGTTATTAAAAAAAAAAAAACATTCTCTGTTTCCAAGGGTCAAATTGCCATTCTATCAAGGAGGGGTACAAGTGGAAAAAAATGCTGTTTACATCAAGCTCCAGTCCAGCGTCGGCCTCACAGTCATGTGGTACCTTGGTGATTCAGTCATGGTAAAAACTTAAGATAATGGATTTTATATTCACACTCCAGGTCTGCTCAAAACACATTGTTGTGTCATGTAAAGAACATTAGAGCTCTCAGATACACCAGGCAGAAATCTATCCACACAGCTCTCCTTCAAGCATCTTATATGATTCACACACTTTAAGGAGCGAATTGTAACACAAATGCAATTAATGATGATTGGACCACGTCTTTCTTTTATTATTATGGGACGGACCGACCCCTGGAGATACAGATATATTTCCAAAGGTTTCTGGGAAGATATTAAATACACAGACAGTCCGTCAGTCAGTTTTCTTTCTTGATTCAGTTATTTTTGACAAACAGGGCATTTGCTCACACTATGATAACATAAAACCAATCACAATAACTATTCGATTCATGTCAATTTATGGGGCAACTATAATTCACAAGTGTTTTTTTTGTGTTTCAATATTTTAATAGTGTTATGAAGTTAGTTTGAAAGATTGTTATACCCTCTTGCTGTGTTGCAGGTGGAACTAGATCGTGACTATGCCAATCGTACTTGTGGACTTTGTGGAGACTTCAATGGTGTTTTAGTCAATGAGTTCATTCATAATGGTATATATGGTTATTCACTTTATGGATACACTCATTTCATCAGTCATGCACCGCACCTCTTGTATGTGATACCATGAATGTAATTATATGCAGGTCGCCAAATTAGCCCAATTGAGTTTGGCACCAAACAGAAAGTCCACCTTCCAAATGATGATTGTGAGGACCCCTTTGAAGAGGAAGATGACTCACGCGAGGCTAGGAGTGTGCCGGATTCATGCAAGCAGTTTGTGGGTTTATGATCCTCTAACTTATATATACAATAGTGATATGTAGCAATATATAGCATTTCAAACTTTGGTTCTCCCACCCATCATTTATTTTTACCTTTTAGCAAACCTCCTGTGACCAGATGTTGCATTCAGAATCCTGGAGCTCATGCACCAAACTGATTGACCCTGAACCTTACATCCAGACGTGTGTGCAGGACATGTGTGGCTGCCCCAACACTACAAATGACTTCTGTGTCTGCAGCACACTGTCTGAGTTCTCTCGAGAGTGTTTGCATGCAGGAGGGCAGCCTCCCAACTGGAGGACACATCAGTTCTGTGGTAATGTTTGCTTTTCTCTGCTTTGTTATCACCTTTATTTTTTAAACGGTTTGAGGTGGAAGGAGTATTACAATACTGAAACCAGCTCAGTAAAAAACAACTAATTTAAATTGAATAAAAGATATTGAGTTACTATCTGAACATTATTTTAAATTATACATTTTCTCATGCTGCTCTGATTGATTATATTATATTATTTATGTTTCTTTAAAAAGAAAAAACCTTTAAAAACAGCATAAAGAAGGGCCAGATCTGATTTAAATAAAATTTCTTACATTTCTGGAAAAAAAAAAATCAAACAAGTCCCTTCCTACCTCTGTTAATTTCAATTGTACCTTATCTTCACAGCTAAACAGTGCCTATACAACATGGTTTATGAAGAGAGCGGTTCCCCTTGCATTGATACTTGCAAAAATCAGGGCACAAGTTCAATGTGTGAGCACCACAGATTGGATGGCTGCGTCTGTCCACCTGGTGAGTGATCTTCCCATGTGAACCTATGTTTCTTACTACATAATACAGTGTTGAGAGTTTCCTGTTTCACCTATAATTACCCTTTCATATAACCGTCTCCTTCAGGTACTGTGTTTGATGACATTTCTAATAGAGGATGCATTGCTCAATCTAAATGTCAGTGCTACCACAAAAAAATCTATAACCCTGGTGAGGTTTACCGACAGGACCAAGATGAATGGTGAGTCAAATGTTTCATAGTGTAAACAGAATGTATTATTTGGGTTGTGTTCATGTTATTGATATTAAATTATTTGGCATGTTTCAGTACATGTTTGAAGGGTGGATGGGTTTGTAAGAGCCTTGAAACACCTGCTACATGTGCAGTTGAAGAGGGCTCACATGTAACTACCTTTGATGGGAAAACCTACACCTTCCATGGAGACTGTTACTACACCCTAGCCAAGGTGGAAAGCAAGGTGAATGAGATATTGCTTTGCACAATTAAATGGCAGAACAAATATAATCAATTGATGTAAAAAAAAAAAAGAAAAAAAAAAAGGTATCTATTTAATTGCACTTTGCACTGTATTTTGCAGGATGATGCAAGTCCAAAGTTTACCATCATGGTCCAGTTGGTGCCATGTGCAAACCAAGAATTTGACACTTGTCTGAAAACCCTTAAAATCCTGCTGAACAATGACAGAAACAATGTGAGTTCAAACCTGTCAGTTAAAACGATTGTAGTCATTTATTATTCCACACTGATATCTGCAACATTCAAATGATCAATTCTGTTTTTATTCAGGTATTAATGTTCACTTCAGATGGCACAGTAAAGCAGAACATGCAGCCCATCAGTTTGCCCTACCACACAGGTGGGTCAGACAATAAGAAACCCTGAAGAGATCATATTATTGTCTTCTTTCATTTATGCTATGACATTTGGCAAATGATCTTACTGTTTCTTGTTGTAATGTTTCTTACAAAAATGTTTCTTCATCCAAAGGTGACATCAACATATTCCAGGCTTCATCCTTTCACATCTTGCTCCAGACCACTTTTGGGTTGCAAATTCAGATCCAGCAGGTGCCTCTCATGCAAGTCTACGTCAGACTGGACCAGAGCTACAGAGCAAAGACACGTGGTAAGTTTTACATTTGTCATAACACGAAGCATTCAGTCATCATCAAAAATATGTCAGTACATACAATACATTTCAGATAGATTATTATACCATCTAATGGGTAGTGAGGATGAAAACAATAATCTTTATTTATTTGTGTATTTGGATACTAATTTTGCCATACACAATGTCAAACCAACCCAACAGATTTACCTGAAAAAATGCTCGAAGCTACAAAAAAATCAGTTCTAAAATCTGTGACAATACTGACTGACACAGTTAACAATGAATCACTGTCAAAACATGTTGGTGAACACAAATGTGCATGATAATGTTTGGTAAAACTCTTTATTTAATGGTAATTATTCATTATACTAATAACTCCCCAGAAGGAAATGTGAATACAACACAATATACAGAAAATAGATAAATACATGATGTTCATCTTAATTCAAGTTAACTGAATTAATGAATCCCTAAAAAATCCTATAATACATTTCCATTTTGCTAATTTCATTACAGTAATTGACACTTTCCATTTTCCTATGAATAGTATAAGTGCCGATACTCTAATAAAAATTAAATGTCTAAAATATTTGTTTTCTTCAGGTTTATGTGGAGACTACAACATGGTCCTGTCTGATGACATGAAGACACCTCAGGGGATCGTCGAGGGAACAGCAGTAACTTTTGCTAACTCATGGAAGTCTAAGGTCACGTGTGAAGACAAAGAGGAAAGAGTTGAAGACCCCTGTTCCCTCAGTGTGGACAATGGTAAAAAGTAGTGGTTGCTTTTTCTGTTGACAAACGTGTTTCTTAGATTGATTCTCTGCCTTAAACACTTAGTTCCAGTCTTTAAGTATGTTTATATATTGAAGGCAAGTGCACAGTCTAACACAGTTGAGGACATGAAAAATAAAAGGGCTGCTGTTTCTTCATTCTCAGAGTGGTACGCGAAACACTGGTGCGCCTTGCTGCAAAATCCAAATAGTACCTTTGCACAATGTAGCTCAGTGGTGGATCCTGAGATGTATTACAAGGTACAGAAAAATCTTTCAGTTTGTCTTTCATTTAATGAAATTTTGATGGGACTGTAGTCCACTAAAACTGTTTTTCGGTTGTGCAGCGATGTACTTATGCTAGCTGTAACTGTGAGAAGAATGAGGCCTGCCTGTGTGCTGTCCTGTCCTCTTATGCACGGGCTTGTGCATCAAAGGGAGTGTTCTTGAAAGACTGGAGAGAGAATGTGTGTGGTAAGGATTTCTTTCATTCGGTTGTGGTAAAATGAGGTGATGATTTCTAAAGTTTGATTAACATTATTGCTTTCATTAGTTAGTCATAAACTATTAACTAACTATCCTCACATTGTGCACAAAACAGACAAATACTCAAGGAGCTGCCCACCATCCCAGACCTTCTCTTACAAGCATCAGAGATGCCAGCTGACCTGTAGATCACTCGGTTCTAAGCAGCAGAGCTGCACTTCTGACTTCTTGCCTGTGGATGGCTGCTCCTGCTCTGAGGGTTTCTACCTAAATGAAAAGGGCATCTGTGTCCCCATGGCAAAGTGTCCATGCTACCATAATGAAGAGTACATTAAGCCAGGAAAGTCCATCAGCATCCAAGACGACCACTGGTGAGTTAGTTGTTTCCAATTTCATGACTTCAAATCAGTTTTCCTAGACTTCAGCAGATTTGGTGCAACTGTAAAGCATGCACATGAAGGTTTATAGAAACCGAATGTTAAGTTTTTACGTACCTTTGTGTTGCATTTTAAATCTTTGTCCTTTTCTAGTGTGTGTACCAATGGAATGCTTCATTGTCATTCTTGGAGAACCCATTCATCAAGTACGTTTCTCTTTTTTTAAGTTTTATGTTTTGTTTTTTAACTCAGCACCATCATTTGGTTGATATGTGTATTGAATCTGTTTCTCTTTCAGTTACAGCATGCTCTTCTCCAAAAGTGTTCTTCAACTGCTCCACTGCGGGCACAGGAGAGCTTGGAGTGCAGTGTGCTCAAACCTGTTTAAATCTGGACAGCAATGATTGTGTGAGCTGTTTTTGCTGCTGTGTCCAAGATGGCCTCTCAGTCTCAAATAAAAGATCAAATATTTATTTTCTGAATTTAATGTTGGACAGTATGTTACACTGAAGATGTAACATGCTGTGCATAGATACACTAGTGTCTACAATAGTTTCTAGACATTATTGAAGAGTCATTTTTTATCAATATCATTAATGTTTGCACTTTTTTTAAATCCCTGTGATCTGTCTATCTCTCCAGGCCTCCACTGAGTGTGAATCTGGCTGTCAGTGTCCCAGTGGCCTCCTTGATGATGGCAAAGGTTCCTGTGTGAAAGAAAAGGACTGTCCATGTCGGCATAATGGGTATCTGTATGCCCCGGGAAAAGTCATTCTTAACAAGTGCAACAACTGGTATGACCTTGTTTTTTATCATATATATAATATAGCACAGTAAACAAATATTATCTTGTGTTTCACTTATTTGCAGTATGTAAAGAACTGTGTTACTATTAACCATTTTTAATGCGTCTAGTACCTGCAAAAGTGGAAAGTGGGATTGCACCAACAAAAAGTGTCAAGGAACTTGCACTATTTACGGGAGTGGTCACTACAATACATTTGATCAGCAAACATATGCTTTTCAAGGACATTGTGCCTACGTTGCTGTCAAGGTAAAAAAAAAGCATGTACACATCATCCCAATGACAGACTGTGTTCAAAATCACTCTCTTATTTAAACACTGACTCCCTACATAGTGGACACTCAGTACTTTACTTAAATAGTGAGCAGTAAGTTTAAATTTTATATATTTACATCATCATCATCATCATCATTTTCATCATCACTGACATCTATAAAATGTAGTGTGGGATTGTTAACAGAAGGTATTGCACATGCCATATACACCAGTGGATACATTTACAATATCAGATACAATGGCAGACAGTAAATGTAGTGCACTATGTAGAAAACAAGGAGAGATTTTGGACACAGCCAACATGCTCAATATATTATGTTCTGTCTGGTCCCATCCTAGAAGTTCATAGATATAACATTTATACAATTCTTTAGCAATCTTAAAGTATAGACTAATAAAGGTCAAGCTAAAGTTTGATTTGATCAGTTGTCTCTGTGTACTATGATGCAATTATGCAAAATGTTTAATAAATGTCTCTCTTTTAAGAACAAATGTGGCAATAAAACAGCACAGTACACCTTTGGAGTTATCACAGAAAATGTACCATGTGGATCAACGGGCACCACATGCTCCAAAACTGTCAGAATCCAACTGGGGGTAAGATCTCATCACAACACCTGATACTGTATTCTGGCTTAAAATATTGAGCAATGAAAGTAACAGAAATCTCTTCAACATTACAGCGAAAAGAAATCAAATTATCAAAGGGTAAATATGAAGAGGAGGACCTGGAACATGGCACTCACGTTCCGTACAAAATAAGGACGACTGGCTTGTATCTGGTGATAGAATCTGCCATTGGTGTGACAGTAATCTGGGATCGCAGAACAACAGTTCACATCCGCCTGGAACCAGGGCACAGCGTGAGTCACAGTAGTTGTTTTAGTGATGATGACTGAAATCTCTGATTTTAAGAGTTCAGAGCTAAAGTTTTGAGACTGTGTACAAGTTTTCTGTAGTCTAGCTGTCTTTGTAGATCATCTTCTTCCATCAAAAAAATGCTTGTTCAATATAATATTGTCCTCGTTTAAAGAAGTCACTGTCTCTTTTTGTTTGTACAGGGAGAGGTATGTGGCCTGTGTGGAGATTTTGATGGCAATGGCCAGAATGACTTCACCACCCAGGGTCAGTTGGTAGTGAGCAATCCTATAGAATTTGCAAACAGCTGGAAAGTGTCCAGCACCTGCCCAGATGTGGAAATGAATGTTGACCCTTGTGTGGTAAATAAGAATCGACATAGCTGGGCAAAAATGATGTGTAGCATTATAACTGGAAAAACGTTCAAAGATTGCCATCATAAGGTAATAAAAGATTTGTTTCTATTTTATCATTTTATAAAGTTCCATGGTTGGGATCATGTTTTTAAACATCTGTCATCAATTTTGAATGGCTGAACAGGTAGATCATCGTCCATTTCATGAAAACTGTGTGAAAGACTCATGTGCCTGTAACACTGGAGGAGACTGTGAGTGTTTCTGCACAGCTGTTGCAGCTTATGCTCAAGCTTGTAGTGAGGCTGGTGCCTGTGTTGCATGGAGAACTCCAGAAATCTGTCGTAAGTACACAGCAATTTTATCCATTGGTCATTAAACTGAGTTATTTCAGCCTTTTCTGGCCCAAGACTATTGTTAGACCCCAAAGTTCGTATGACCTTTGCATTTAGAGATTTATAGATTTAGAAAAAAGAAAAGACATGTGTTGTGAGAATGTATTTGGTGAAGTTCAGGTTTGAGTTCCTGTTAACTTGGTGACACTTAATACAGAGAATAATGTTTTAATAATAATGTTTCAAACACAGTACCTGAAGGAGTTATTTGAATCAATGTTTCCTTTATTTAAATACCTAACATACCTTATATCATTTCTTCCTAGCTGTCTTTTGTGACTATTACAACAGCCCAGGTAATTGCAGTTGGCACTACAACCCATGTCACACACCTTGCTACAAGACCTGCTTGAATCCAGAGGGAACTTGTACCAACCCATTACCTGAACTGGAAGGTAAGAGGTTAACTCAGAGTGTCTCACCTCAGAGTAATGTGCTAGTTAAAATTTTTTGGCATACTTTATTTATCAAAATAAGAAAAGAGTTTCAAAGATCACTTGGCCAGCTTTATTGCCCAAGATCTAAAAAACAATGTAAACAACATCATGGGGTAACGTGATATTTTATGATGGGATTTTTACAGGGTGCTACCCCATATGCCCAGAAGATACGCCCATATTTGATGAGGAAAAGCAGATATGTGTGGAAGAATGTGGGGGTTGCTTTTACAATGGGAAAAGATATAATGAAGGCGACATTGTTTACAATGTGACTGATAACTTGGGAATGTGCTACTACGCGATCTGCATCAATTCAACAGTGAAATTTATAAATGAAACCTGCCCAACATCAACTGTCCCACCAACAACAACTACATCCAAAATAACTACTTCCACCACTACACATATTACCACAACAACTGAACTGCCAACCACATCTACAAGACCTACGACTACAACTGAGGAACCAACCACAACCACAATATCTACAATCCCACCAAAAACTACTCCATGTTTTACAACGTGTGAGTGGTCAGAATGGTATGATGTCCATAACCCAATATATGACAAAAGTGACTGGGAAACATATGAAAACATCACAAACAGTGGGAAAGAAATATGCAAAAAACCCAAAGAAATTGATTGTAGATATGCAGATGATCCTTACATAGACTTCAATGACTTTGTGAGTGAAACTGGCCAAGTTGTTACTTGTGACGTGGGATATGGTTTAATATGTAGAAAAGAGGACCAGACAGTACCTCCATATAAGTGCTTCAACTATAAGATCAGAGTATGTTGTGAGGTACAGATATGTGGACCGACAACACCTTCAACTCCATCAACTACACCTCCAACTACAACAGTACCAAGCACAACCACAAAATCTACAACACCATCAACCCAACCTCCTACTACAACTGAGGAACCAAGCACAACCACAAAATCTACGACACCATCAACCCAACCTCCTACTACAACTGAGGAACCAAGCACAACCACAAAATCTACAACACCCTCAACCGAACCTACGACTACAACTGCAGGACCAACTACAACCACAGAATCTACAACACCATCAACCCAACCTCCCACTACAACTGCAGGACCAAGTACTGTTTCCACAACTGAATTAATAGAAACTGGTTCTACACCAATTCATTCTACGCAGAGTCAAATTTCCACAGATACTACAACAACAAGTACGCCGAGTTCTACAACACCACCAACCAAACCTACCACAACTGAAGGGACAACCACAACCACAAAATCTACAACACCATCAACCCAACCTCCTACTACAACTGAGGAACCAAGCACAACCACAAAATCTACAACACCCTCAACCGAACCTACGACTACAACTGCAGGACCAACTACAACCACAGAATCTACAACACCATCAACCCAACCTCCTACCACAACTCCAGGACCAACCACAACCACAAAATCTACAACCTCATCAACCAAACTTCCTACAACAACTGCAGGACCAACCACGACCACAAAACCTACACCATCAACCCAACCTCCCACTACAACTGAGGAGCCAAGCACAACCACAAAATCTACAACACCATCAACCCAACCTCCCACTACAACTGAAGGACCAACTACAACCACAGAATCTACAACACCATCAACCCAACCTCCTACCACAACTGCAGGACCAACCACGACCACAAAATCTACAACACCTACAACTGAGGAGCCAAGCACAACCACAAAATCTACAACACCATCAACCCAACCTCCTACCACAACTGCAGGACCAACCACGACCACAAAATCTACAACATCATCAACCCACCCTCCCACTACAACTGAGGAGCCAAGCACACCCACAAAATCTACAACATCATCAACCCACCCTCCCACTACAACTGAGGAGCCAAGCACACCCACAAAATCTACAACATCATCAACCCACCCTCCCACTACAACTGAGGAGCCAAGCACACCCACAAAATCTACAACATCATCAACCCACCCTCCCACTACAACTGAGGAGCCAAGCACACCCACAAAATCTACAACATCATCAACCCACCCTCCCACTACAACTGAGGAGCCAAGCACACCCACAAAATCTACAACATCATCAACCCACCCTCCCACTACAACTGAGGAGCCAACCACAACCACAGAATCCACAACATCATCAACCCAACCTCCCACTACAACTGAGAAACAAAGCACAACCACAAAATCTACAACATCATCAACCCAACCTCCCACTACTACTGTGGAACCAAGCACAATATCTACAATCCCACCAACAACTACTCCATGTATTACAACGTGTGAGTGGTCAGAATGGTATGATGTCCATAACCCAATATATGACAAAAGTGACTGGGAAACATATGAAAACATCACAAACAGTGGGAAAGAAATATGCAAAAAACCCAAAGAAATTGATTGTAGATATGCAGATGATCCTGACAGGGACTTCAATGACTTTGTGAGTCAAACTGGCCAAGTTGTTACTTGTGACGTGGGATATGGTTTAATATGTAGAAAAGAGGACCAGACAGTACCTCCATATAAGTGCTTCAACTATAAGATCAGAGTATGTTGTGAGGTACAGATATGTGGACCGACAACACCTTCAACTCCATCAACTACACCTCCAACTACAACAGTACCAAGCACAACCACAAAATCTACAACACCATCAACCCAACCTCCCACTACAACTGAAGGACCAACTACAACCACAGAATCTACAACCTCATCAACCAAACCTCCTACCACAACTGCAGGACCAACCACGACCACAAAATCTACAACACCCTCAACTGAACCTACGACTACAACTGAGGAACCAAGCACAACCACAAAATCTACGACACCATCAACCCAACCTCCCACTACAACTGCAGGACCAACTACAACCACAGAATCTACAACACCATCAACTCAACCTCCCACTACAACTGAAGGACCAACTACAACTACAGAATCTACAACCTCCTCAACCAAACCTCCTACCACAACTCCAGGACCAACCACAACCACAAAATCTACAACCTCATCAACCAAACTTCCTACAACAACTGCAGGACCAACCACAACTACAGAATCTACAACCTCATCAACCAAACCTCCTACCACAACTGCAGGACCAACCACGACCACAAAACCTACACCATCAACCCAACCTCCCACTACAACTGAGGAGCAAAGCACAACCACAAAATCTACAACACCATCAACCCAACCTCCCACTACAACTGAGGAGCCAAGCACAACCACAAAATCTACAACACCATCAACCCAACCTCCCACTACAACAGAAGGACCAACCACAACTACAGAATCTACAACCTCATCAACCAAACCTCCTACCACAACTGCAGGACCAACCACAACTACAGAATCTACAACCTCATCAACCAAACCTCCTACCACAACTGCAGGACCAACCACGACCACAAAACCTACACCATCAACCCAACCTCCCACTACAACTGAAGGACCAACCACAACTACAGAATCTACAACCTCATCAACCAAACCTCCTACCACAACTCCAGGACCAACCACAACTACAGAATCTACAACCTCATCAACCAAACCTCCTACCACAACTGCAGGACCAACCACGACCACAAAACCTACACCATCAACCCAACCTCCCACTACAACTGAAGGACCAACCACAACCACAGAATCCACAACATCATCAACCAAACCTCCTACCACAACTGTAGGACCAACCACAACCACAAAATCTACAACACTATCAACCCAACCTCCCACTACAACTGCAGGACCAACCACGACCACAAAATCTACAACACCATCAACCCAACCTCCCACTACAACTGAGGAGCCAAGCACAACCACAAAATCTACAACACCATCAACCCAACCTCCCACTACAACTGAGGAGCCAAGCACAACCACAAAATCTACAACACCATCAACCCAACCTCCCACTACAACTGAGGAGCCAAGCACAACCACAAAATCTACAACACCATCAACCCAACCTCCCACTACAACTGAGGAGCCAAGCACAACCACAAAATCTACAACACCATCAACCCAACCTCCCACTACAACTGAGGAGCCAAGCACAACCACAAAATCTACAACACCATCAACCCAACCTCCCACTACAACTGAGGAGCCAAGCACAACCACAAAATCTACAACACCATCAACCCAACCTCCCACTACAACTGAGGAGCCAAGCACAACCACAAAATCTACAACACCATCAACCCAACCTCCCACTACAACTGAGGAGCCAAGCACAACCACAAAATCTACAACACCATCAACCCAACCTCCCACTACAACTGAGGAGCCAAGCACAACCACAAAATCTACAACACCATCAACCCAACCTCCCACTACAACTGAAGGACCAACCACAACTACAGAATCTACAACCTCATCAACCAAACCTCCTACCACAACTGCAGGACCAACCACGACCACAAAACCTACACCATCAACCCAACCTCCCACTACAACTGAGGAACCAAGCACAACCACAAAATCTACAACACCATCAACCCAACCTCCCACTACAACTGAAGGACCAACCACAACTACAGAATCTACAACCTCATCAACCAAACCTCCTACTACAACTGCAGGACCAACCACAACTACAGAATCTACAACCTCATCAACCAAACCTCCTACCACAACTGCAGGACCAACCACGACCACAAAACCTACACCATCAACCCAACCTCCCACTACAACTGAAGGACCAACTACAACCACAGAATCCACAACATCATCAACCAAACCTCCTACCACAACTGTAGGACCAACCACAACCACAAAATCTACAACACTATCAACCCAACCTCCCACTACAACTGCAGGACCAACCACGACCACAAAATCTCCTACACCATCAACCCAACCTCCCACTACAACTGAGGAGCCAAGCACAACCACAAAATCTACAACACCATCAACCCAACCTCCCACTACAACTGAAGGACCAACCACAACTACAGAATCTACAACCTCATCAACCAAACCTCCTACCACAACTGCAGGACCAACCACAACTACAGAATCTACAACCTCATCAACCAAACCTCCTACCACAACTGCAGGACCAACCACGACCACAAAACCTACACCATCAACCCAACCTCCCACTACAACTGAAGGACCAACCACAACCACAGAATCCACAACATCATCAACCAAACCTCCTACCACAACTGTAGGACCAACCACAACCACAAAATCTACAACACTATCAACCCAACCTCCCACTACAACTGCAGGACCAACCACGACCACAAAATCTACGACACCATCAACCCAACCTCCCACTACAACTGAGGAGCCAAGCACAACCACAAAATCTACAACACCATCAACCCAACCTCCCACTACAACTGAGGAACCAAGCACAACCACAAAATCTACAACACCATCAACCCAACCTCCCACTACAACTGAAGGACCAACCACAACTACAGAATCTACAACCTCATCAACCAAACCTCCTACCACAACTGCAGGACCAACCACAACTACAGAATCTACAACCTCATCAACCAAACCTCCTACCACAACTGCAGGACCAACCACGACCACAAAACCTACACCATCAACCCAACCTCCCACTACAACTGAAGGACCAACCACAACTACAGAATCTACAACCTCATCAACCAAACCTCCTACCACAACTGCAGGACCAACCACAACTACAGAATCTACAACCTCATCAACCAAACCTCCTACCACAACTGCAGGACCAACCACGACCACAAAACCTACACCATCAACCCAACCTCCCACTACAACTGAGGAGCCAAGCACAACCACAAAATCTACGACACCATCAACCCAACCTCCCACCACAACTGCAGGACCAACCACAACCACAAAATCTACAACACCATCAACCCAACCTCCCACTACAACTGAGGAGCCAAGCACAACCACAAAATCTACAACACCATCAACCCAACCTCCCACCACAACTGCAGGACCAACCACGACCACAAAATCTACAACACCATCAACCCAACCTCCCACTACAACTGAGGAGCCAAGCACAACCACAAAATCTACAACACCATCAACCCAACCTCCTACTACAACAAAAGGACCAACTACAACCACAGAATCTACAACACCATCAACCCAACCTCCTACCACAACTGCAGGACCAACCACGACCACAAAACCTACACCATCAACCCAACCTCCCACTACAACTGAAGGACCAACTACAACCACAGAATCCACAACATCATCAACCAAACCTCCTACCACAACTGTAGGACCAACCACAACCACAAAATCTACAACACTATCAACCCAACCTCCCACTACAACTGCAGGACCAACCACGACCACAAAATCTACGACACCATCAACCCAACCTCCCACTACAACTGAGGAGCCAAGCACAACCACAAAATCTACAACACCATCAACCCAACCTCCCACTACAACTGAGGAGCCAAGCACAACCACAAAATCTACAACACCATCAACCCAACCTCCCACTACAACTGCAGGACCAACCACAACCACAAAATCTACAACCTCATCAACCCAACCTCCTACTACAACTGCAGGACCAACTACTGTTTCCACAACTGAATTAATAGAAACTGGTTCTACACCAATTCATTCTACGCAGAGTCAAATTTCCACAGATACTACAACAACAAGTACGCCGAGTTCTACAACACCACCAACCAAACCTACCACAACTGAAGGGACAACCACAACCACAAAATCTACAACACCATCAACCCAACCTCCTACTACAACTGAGGAACCAAGCACAACCACAAAATCTACAACACCCTCAACCGAACCTACGACTACAACTGCAGGACCAACTACAACCACAGAATCTACAACACCATCAACTCAACCTCCTACCACAACTCCAGGACCAACCACAACCACAAAATCTACAACCTCATCAACCAAACTTCCTACAACAACTGCAGGACCAACCACGACCACAAAACCTACACCATCAACCCAACCTCCCACTACAACTGAGGAGCCAAGCACAACCACAAAATCTACAACACCATCAACCCAACCTCCCACTACAACTGCAGGACCAACTACAACCACAAAATCTACAACACCATCAACTCAACCTCCCACTACAACTGAAGGACCAACCACAACTACAGAATCTACAACCTCCTCAACCAAACCTCCTACCACAACTCCAGGACCAACCACAACCACAAAATCTACAACCCCATCAACCAACCCTCCTACCACAACTGCAGGACCAACCACAACCACAAAACCTACACCATCAACCCAACCTCCCACTACAACTGAGGAGCCAAGCACAACCACAAAATCTACGACACCATCAACCCAACCTCCCACCACAACTGCAGGACCAACCACGACCACAAAATCTACGACACCATCAACCCAACCTCCCACTACAACTGAGGAGCCAAGCACAACCACAAAATCTACAACACCATCAACCCAACCTCCCACTACAACTGAAGGACCAACTACAACCACAGAATCTACAACACCATCAACCCAACCTCCTACCACAACTCCAGGACCAACCACAACCACAAAATCTACAACCTCATCAACCAAACCTCCCACTACAACTGAGGAACCAAGCACAACCACAAAATCTACAACACCATCAACCCAACCTCCCGATACAACAGAAGGACCAACCACAACTACAGAATCTACAACCTCATCAACCAAACCTCCTACCACAACTGCAGGACCAACCACGACCACAAAACCTACACCATCAACCCAACCTCCCACTACAACTGAAGGACCAACCACAACTACAGAATCTACAACCTCATCAACCAAACCTCCTACCACAACTGCAGGACCAACCACAACTACAGAATCTACAACCTCATCAACCAAACCTCCTACCACAACTGCAGGACCAACCACGACCACAAAACCTACACCATCAACCCAACCTCCCACTACAACTGAAGGACCAACCACAACTACAGAATCTACAACCTCATCAACCAAACCTCCTACCACAACTGCAGGACCAACCACGACCACAAAACCTACACCATCAACCCAACCTCCCACTACAACTGAAGGACCAACCACAACCACAGAATCCACAACATCATCAACCAAACCTCCTACCACAACTGTAGGACCAACCACAACCACAAAATCTACAACACTATCAACCCAACCTCCCACTACAACTGCAGGACCAACCACGACCACAAAATCTACGACACCATCAACCCAACCTCCCACTACAACTGAGGAGCCAAGCACAACCACAAAATCTACAACACCATCAACCCAACCTCCCACTACAACTGAAGGACCAACTACAACCACAGAATCTACAACACCATCAACCCAACCTCCTACCACAACTGCAGGACCAACCACAACCACAAAATCTACAACACCATCAACCCAACCTCCCACTACAACTGAGGAGCCAAGCACAACCACAAAATCTACAACACCATCAACCCAACCTCCCACTACAACTGAGGAGCCAAGCACAACCACAAAATCTACAACACCATCAACCCAACCTCCCACTACAACTGAAGGACCAACCACAACTACAGAATCTACAACCTCATCAACCAAACCTCCTACCACAACTCCAGGACCAACCACAACTACAGAATCTACAACCTCATCAACCAAACCTCCTACCACAACTGCAGGACCAACCACAACCACAAAACCTACACCATCAACCCAACCTCCCACTACAACTGAGGAGCCAAGCACAACCACAAAATCTACGACACCATCAACCCAACCTCCCACCACAACTGCAGGACCAACCACGACCACAAAATCTACAACACCATCAACCCAACCTCCCACTACAACTGAGGAGCCAAGCACAACCACAAAATCTACAACACCATCAACCCAACCTCCCACTACAACAGAAGGACCAACCACAACTACAGAATCTACAACCTCATCAACCAAACCTCCTACCACAACTCCAGGACCAACCACAACTACAGAATCTACAACCTCATCAACCAAACCTCCTACCACAACTGCAGGACCAACCACGACCACAAAACCTACACCATCAACCCAACCTCCCACTACAACTGAGGAACCAAGCACGACCACAAAATCTACGACACAATCAACCCAACCTCCTATTACACCATGCTTCTGTGTAGTTAATGGCAAGCAGTATAAGCCAGGTAAACAAAACAAAAATTACATATTTCTCTGACACAATTTGTTCTTTTGTTTTAAATGTTTATCACTGTTTAATGTATTATTTGTCTTTCTTCTCATCTTTAGGGGAGGTAATATTTGACAGGGAACACCTTGGATCAGGTTTATGTCTCACAATGATATGTTCTCATACTTGTGAGATTCGCAACAAGACAGAAATTTGCACCACACCTGTGCCTACACCTACTCCTACAACCACACCTCCTGGACCTACCTGTCCTGAATGGGGCGCAGTGGTAAGAACCTTCTTATCTCACGTCGAATTATATGTTTTATGTTATACTTAGAGCACATTTAAAGGTTAAATTATTGTCACTGCCACTAGATGTTACACTATACCACCTGCATCTGAGACCAAAACAAATGCTTCGTCGGCCACCCTTTGCCCCCCCTTCATGTTCTTAGCAAATTCTCACAAAGCCCAGTGAAAGCAGTCAGTAAACACACAACAGGAAGTACAACTGAATAAAGTTACCCTGTGTACACACTCACGCCCATGCTAGCACTGATGCAATATGCACAATATTGGCATTAAGGCAAAAAGTGATAGCAACAAATTCATAACATCGCTAAAAACGAGTTAACTAACGTTATCAAGCCATCTGTAACCAGTGATAGAAACAGATATCTGGCATTATGTAGCCATGTTATGCATGGAAGAGAAGAAGAACTAGTTTCCTTGTCAGGCTGGAACCTTTTAATCAGTCGTAGGGCTCTCCATCTCAGCAAAGCCAGGTGTGTGTTTGCTCCCTGCTCAGGTCATAATTACTCCACTATATCTTTACCAGAAAATATTTGTGTCTTGCTAAATTGTTGTGTAAAACCTCGTTCACAGAACCTTTAACGAGCACATTTTCACTTTAAAAGAAAATAAGCTTTTTTTGCACTTGCATATTTTGCTAAATATTTCAAAATACCACTAATTTTATCCTCTTTTTTTCTCTCTACAATAGCAAAATGAGACCTTCTATTTGTGCAACTGCACCATGGCCAGATGCATTGAGAACAATACAGTTGAAATAGTTCCTTATGAATGTCCACCCCTTGAGAACATCACTTGTACCAATGGAAAGAAACCAGTTCTTGTTTATGACGAGCACTACTGCTGCCAATATTATGCTTGTGACTGTAAGCCATTCTGTGGTTAAGGATGCATGACACATTTATTGACTCTTATGTTTCTCTTTTAAAACAATTTTAGATTTTGAACTTTTTTTTTGTTGTTTCTTGTCAGGTGTATGTGAAGGCTGGGGAGATCCACATTACATCACATTTGATGGATTGTACTACAGTTATCAAGGAAACTGTAGTTACATTTTGATGGAAGAGATTTCACCAAAACATCAGTTGAAGATTTATATTGACAATGTCTTTTGTGATCCCACTGAAGATGTTTCTTGTCCAAGATCAATAATTGTATCATACAGATCGCAAGCTATCAGACTCATCAACCATAACCTTAATGGAGCAGTTGAATTGGAGGTAAAACAATACATGGCTATATCAAAGTTTTATAGTATGTTCTGAAAAATTCACCAACAAATAACAAATTAATTTGAACTGAGTATGTAATTACTGTCAGTTTAGATGATGGATCTTTTTGTCTTAGTATATTATGTTTTTTCTTGTCACTAGTGTATTTTTTTCCCTGCAGGCACTGAAAAACGAAAAACATCTGAAACTACCTTATTCACAAGATGATATTAGAATCATGGATTCTGGCATTAATTTGGTTTTGGAGATCCCTCCCCTAAAAGTTGTCATTACATTTGGACTAGTTGGCTTTAGCGTTAATCTTCCATTTCAGTACTTTGGCAAAAACACACAAGGCCATTGTGGTAAGAGCATCCCTCTCTCCAGTGCCATATTAATAAATTATTAGTTTGAGGTTAGCATGTAATATTAACCTGTTTTGTGACTGTATTATCAGGAACATGCAACAACAACCAAGCAGATGACTGCATGTTGCCTGGAGGCCAGCTGGTGAAAAGTTGTGCAGTGATGGCCGACTATTGGCTTGCAAAAGACATTTCCCCGCCCAGCTGCAAGATACCACCTGTGTTGCCCACCAACAGACCTGAACCTGAACCAACTGGAACTTCATGCACGCCAAATGATATATGCGGCCTGCTTAAGAGCAGGTAGACATTCACTAATCCATTGTAGCAGTTCACATACATCCCCATAACTTTGACATATTGCAATGAAAACTCAATAGCATTTTAATTTGAATTAATGTTTGTTTTACTTTCACAGTGTCTTTGCAGCGTGCCATCCCTTTGTCTCCCCTGACCATTTCTACCAAGGTTGTGTTTTTGATAGTTGTCATCTTTCCAACAAAGCAGTGGAGTGCACAAGTTTGCAGACTTATGCTGCTGCCTGTGCTCAGGCTGGGGTTTGCATTCACTGGAGGAACCAAACAACACTATGTGGTAAGCAACCCCATATTATTATTTTCGTGTAAACATTGGGACCAGTGGAATCAGGAGGGGTAACTTAATTACATTTGTTGCATTTTAGCATATTTTCAGTTTGTAGACAGTATGTGTTTTTAAAATAACCAATTGAGTTCTTTTCTTCACTAACAGCAAGTGACTGCCCATCAAATAAAGTTTACAAGCCATGTGGTCCTGCAGAACAGCCAACCTGCGAAGACGAGTAAGTTTGAACAGAAATGGAGTGTAATAATTTTACAGTTCGCATACTTCCTGTGAGTAGGGGCACATAGGAACATGGCAATCAATATTTTTTATTAACAAAATAGTGATAGATACACTGTATTAAAGTTATCTGTTGTAGAAAAGTGAAAGAAATAATGTAAAGCAACTGTTCCTTCCTGATGATTCAATGTTGCAGTCCAAATGAATCAACTTTGAACTTCACTACTGAGGGTTGCTTTTGTCCTGATGGAAAGAAACTCTTCAACAAAGAGTCTGGCATATGTGTTGATAAGTGTGGTGAGTATGATGTATATCCTCAAGTCTTATTAATGAGCTGAACATATTTTAACAATAACAAAGCCTTACAGGGTTAATCATTTTCCTACAGGATGTCTTGATTCTGAGGGCATTCCTCGTGAGGTGAGTCTTCTGTTTATGCTCAGTTAAAATCCAAACGTGTATTGTTTACTTGCAAGAGACAATAAAATCACTACTGTGGTTTATTCTTTCAGTTTGATGAGAAGTTTGAGCACAATTGCCAAAACTGCATCTGTAAGGAGTCCACTAGGACTGTGACTTGCGAGCCTAAGGTGTGCCCAGTACCACCTGCAGCAAACTGCACCAGTCCAGGGTTTGTCCTTGTCAACCAAACAAATCCCTTAGACCCCTGCTGTTCTGTCTATGTTTGCCGTAAGTCATGTAGCATCAATACACATTTGTCTTCCAGATTTTTCAGGATGCTGTAAATTGATATTGATTCTTCAGGATGGCTCACTGTTTTATCATCTCCACAGAATGTCAAAGCAACACTTGTCCAGTTTACAACATGAACTGTCCAGTTGGACATATTCCAGTTGTTGATGTCCCTGAGGGAAAATGCTGTCTAGAGCATACCTGTGGTGAGCTCATTAATTCATAGCTTCAACTTATATAAAACCTAATGATTGCAGTTACATTTTAAAGTAATTCCCATTCTCTTATTCTTATCTAGAGCCCAAAAGAGTTTGTGTCCACAGAGAGACTGAATACCAGGTAAATAAGAAATGGAAATGTGAGGATGGTAGTCTCATAATTTGTTTATATATCAGATTTTTCTATTAATAATTTCTATAGCACTTCAAACTCTGAGTATGACCACATTTCCTCTTTATTTGCAAGCCTGGTTCTTCAGTTCCTGGGCCTCTATGTCAAGATTGCACCTGTACCAATGAGGTGGATCCAAAGACTGGTCTATTCAAAATAAAGTGTGAGTTTCAGCAATGTCAAGAGGACTGTGAACTGGTAAGAGAAAAACCATCCATCATATTCATAAACACATACACATACAATGCAACTTGTTTTTCCTCAGAGTAAGGGTAAACTTGTAAAACTGGACATGGCAACTTAACTCTCTCTGTTCTCTCAGGGATATGAGTATAAGGAAGGTGAAGCAAATGAATGCTGTGGGAAGTGTGTACAGACACACTGTATCTTCAGTGTTAATGGTACCAATCAACTGTTGTCGGTAAGCTTATCATCTCTGTTTTTCTGTACATGTAAATGTTTAAAATCTCAGCATTTTGATGTGCGTATTCTCGCTTAATGTACCTGTGTGTGTGTGTGTGTGTGTGTGTGTGTGTGTGTGTGTGTGTGTGTGTGTGTGTGTGTGTGTGTGTGTGTGTGTGTGTCCATCTCTCTGCTCTTCAGAAAGGAGACACCTGGTCACCACCTGACAGTAAATGTGAACAGTACATATGTGTTAAGAGTGGTGAGACTTTAACAACAATCAGATCACACATTGTATGCCCACCTTTCGAGGAGAGCAACTGCCAACCTGTAAGTATCACTTTCAATGATTGTTTATGTCTGCGAGGACATAAATTAAAACAAATTATGCTGATGTTGTGTATTTTCCTCCTAAGGATACAATTCAGACCGCAGCAGATGGCTGTTGTACAACTTGTAAGTATGACATTTCCTTTATTTTTAGCTAGAAGTTATATGAAAACAAACTAATTGCATGTCTTTTCTGAAAAGGTGTGGAGAAAGAGAAAGCCTGCAAGTTACTATCCATGAAAACCGTTGTTTCGCATAAGGGCTGTCAGTCTTATGAGGAGGTAGAAATACCATATTGTGAAGGATCCTGCAATACTTTCACCAAGTAAGTATGAGATTGCTTATACAGTATATACAGTGTATAAGCAGTATATACAGCTTATACAGCACCAAGTCACAAAGCCATTCAAATTTGGAAAGTTAAAAAAATGTTTAGGTGTAGTTTGCATAGGTTTTTATTTTTTCATTCTCTTCTTCTTTCTCCAGGTACTCCCAATTAGCAGCAAGTATGCAGCACTATTGCTCCTGCTGTAAGGAGACACGCTCCAGCAGGCGTACTGTTAACTTGTACTGCCTGAATGGAGACGTGGTTCCCCACTCCTACATCCATGTGGAGGAGTGTGGCTGTGACCAAACAGAATGCACCAAAGCTGCTGGACACCCTTCTCGCAGGAGGCGAAGCCTCCCATAGTGTAACAAAAAATCGGTCATCACATTAATGGATGTGGGCTGTAAAAGTTCTTCCCATATTATTCATAATATAGTGATTGTATTAGTGAAAGTATAGCAAAAGTATTTATCAACTGATCAAATAAAAAGATGCAACTCTGTTCATGTCTGTTCTCTTGTATTGTTTTGTTGTGTTACTACTACTAGTATACTATCATTATGTTTCAAATAAAACGTGACTATTAAACAATAGAACAGAACACAACAGAATCAAGTATCTTGACTGTGTTTGGCGGAGTAGGTAGGCGTGACTAAAGCTGGAGAGTGATACTGGGGGAGATGTCTGGGAGGAAGGGGGTGGGGTCCTGCTGAATATACACTATATATACACTATACAGATAAATTCCATTTTTCAATAATGAATGAATGAATCCTCCTCATTCCTTACTCCTCATCATTACAGAACTAACAGAACTAACATTTTCATATGTCTCTTGGGCTCCGTCTGCTGGGTCTGAATAAACTCAACGCAAATCATCACCAGAGCTTCAGGTCAAGTTATCCTTTTAATATAACAAATTCAATACAGATAAACTTATCACAAACACTGTGTAAATATTTCAGTAAAGAAGTTAAACACAAATTGAATAGATGAGCATAGTGTAAATTTATTTAGCCTTTCTATTTACTTCCTTGCACTGAGGCAAAGCCAAGCACCAGGGCCTTGCCGACCTTACCTGCTACTATGTTCACCACGAACCTGCCTGTGGAAATTTGCCAACAATGATGATGTTTAAACAGAGCATTCAGTTGTACATGCTATTTAATTGGGATGATCACGTAACCAGTCTCCCATCCCAGGATTTATAAAAGTGTTTAGCTTTATAAAACTTGAAATGCTGTTTACTAAAGTTCATTTATCTATCGTCTTCTGTGGGGTTCCTCGAAACTAAAGCGGAATATGAAGTTATTTTGCATGCTCTCAAATAGCGACTCAAATGGGAGCTCCTCCAAGGGCAAATATGGCTTTGGATCACTTCCACAGTTGGACAGCTGTATGATGAGGAAGTTCAATTTCCCTGTGATGTGTTGATTCAGGGAGGGCAGTCAATTTGCCAAATTCCCCTTAGAGAGTTTTGATTAGAGGCAGGACTGTTCAGGATGTAATATATATTGACATAAGACTATTTAACTTGTAACACTCCTCATTTCACAAACACACTGAAATGACTGTCACTAAGTTGTTTTAAACAAAGTAGTGTGTTAGAGTACTGTACACATGTTTCTGTCGTGCTTCTAACATAGAAACACAACACAGATGGAACAGAAGGCCTTTTGACAAGCATGAAAAATGATGTGAATCATATATTTTGAGCTTCACGTTCACCAGATTTCAACGGATACAATAGACAGCCATTCAACAACCATCCAAACAACAAATGAGGGAATATTTTTTGAAAGAGTGGTGTCGCATCCCTCACCAGTTGGCAACTACCACGTCTGGAGGCTAAGGCCAAAGTGGAAGCACCTTCAGGTGCAATATAACTGACGTCTAATAGACCCTGACTCCAAAAAATCCTGGCGCCATGTTAGTCCCATTCAGAAAGCATAAACTTCTCTAAAGTTAGCCCCCAGTCTAGTGGCTGAGAAGTCAACAAGCCATTACTATTATCAAACACATAGTTTTTCTCATGTGTAGCTTGTAGCTGAAGTCATTTGGCAAAGCGGTTCAGTTTTTGTGTTCAAGCGTTAATCTAAGAGTAGTGAATGCTACTGGTAAGGGAAAAGGGACATGCTAGACTGCTAGACTGTCAGTACCTGTTTCATAAGTCTGTTAAGTCTTTGTCAAATGTTTGGTCAATGAATGAGCAAGTGAATTGTGAATTTACTTAACAGATAGAGAGGCACAAACCATATATGCCAAGGATCAGTGAGTAAAATACATGATTCCTGTTTAAGTATGCATGAATACTAATCTTGCTCTCTCAAGAAACAGGACATGAATAAAAAATGGCATACAGTGGAGTGTATCATCATCTAAAAATGAATGACAGCTTAGTTGACACGTTGATGTTTACCAAAGAAAAAAAATTCAAAATAGTTCTGTGGAACCTCAGAGTGACTGATAGGATGCTTTATAACACAGACAGATGCTACAAGCAATCTCTTAATCGTATGTAATCTTTGTGGAAATAAAGGCTTCCAGTGTTGACACCCAAAATATCTCCTCCTAAACTGCAAACATCCAGCAAAGTATATTACAAGTCATTGACGTCGTGTGGTACCATTTGGCTTTTGAGGAGTCATCCACCATCTCAGGACAGGGACCACGCAAGGATCATGAGAACAGCCAGGATGCCACTTGAATGGGTGATACCTTGGCTCACCCTCTGCCTTGGACTACCTGCAGCCACCACTGGTATGTCCGCTGAATGAGACACAAACAGAACCTTATTAATTGAGAGTGTCTATCAAGTAAAAATATATATCCTGAGAGGAAAATTCAAAACAGTCAACCTAAATTGTTGGATTTTTTTTTTCCAATACCATACCGGACAATGCAAATATAAATATAGACCGCTTTTATCTGACAGTATGATAATTAGTACTGACTGTAAAAATGTTTTTCTTCTCTTTTAAGTCATGGTTCAGTCAGTGACTAAAATGCCAGTGATGACAGGTAATTGGGGTTTTTTCTTTGTAAGATGAAAGATAACAAATCAAACATCATTTATAATTTAAACTACAACATAATAAGTGCTTTTCTCTTCACAAACTAGAAGTGAGACACTCTCACGACGACCAGTTCTGCAGTACATGGGGAAACTACCATTTCAGGACTTTCGATGGAGATTTCTTCCAGCTTCCTTTCACTTGCAACTACATCCTCGCATCCCAGTGTAAAGGCAGCTATGAGGATTTCAATATTCAGCTCCAGCGACAGGAGATACATGGGGTCATCACCATCAAGACGGTCACTATGAAACTTGAGGGGATTGTTGTGGAATTAGCCAACACTTCCATCAAAGTTGATGATAACCTGTGAGTCTGTTATGATAATGTGTCTTTTCATTACCAGCCGATTACTGGTTACAGCAATGTTTAATGTCACATCTTATTACTATGATAATTTTTTTTTGGCCCTCTCTAGTGTCGCTATACCATTCAGCCAAGATGGCATTTCAATTGAAAGAAGTGCTTCATATGTCAAAATCCAGGCAAAGCTGGGTTTGGTCATCATGTGGAATCAAGAAGACTCCCTCTGGGTATGTTAATTCATATTAATTCAATCATATTGTTTCCCTCTTTCCTGGACTTCATGCATCCCTGACAAAAAAAGCATTCAATATTTTAATATCTGTATGGAGTAGAAAGAAAATAGAAACACTTGACACTGTGTATAACAATGATTTGTTTTAATGGTTAAAAAAAGGAGTATTAGGGCCATGGATGAGAAAAAAATGAGAGGAGGAAGATTTTTTTTCATCATGCACTTCGAGAAAAAAAGTCGCAATGTCGAAGAGGAAGATTTTATTATTATTATTATTATTTTGCCTTTCGAGAATAAAGTCGAAATGTTGAGAATAAAGTCAGGTCCTCCTGTCATTTTTCGTGCCTCTGTCAGCGCGCAGTCTTTCCGGGCATCCTCCCAAGCGCGCAATGGATGTGCTATTACTTTGCGGTCGTTGTTTGTTCTGTAAGCCTCCATCTACACTACATAGCGACTAAAACCATCAATATCACCATTGATAGCAATGCTGCACGACTTGGGCTTATCGTACGAATCCATGTGCCACAGCGCGTTGGATGGCTGTCTGCGTCTCAGACGCCGCGCCCGCCTGAGCTCCACAGGCTTATTGTGTCTTGTGATACAACATATCCCCTCTGAATTGCACGCAGGTGTAACTATCGATATCCTTGCATTTGTCCATTACCCGCTATTTCAGTTTGCACAAATGCGGCCACCTCTCTCAAGCTTGTGTAGTTTTTTCTTCTGAACAGATGCAGTTTTCGGCACAATCTCTTCAAAGTCCTAATGCTGACAACTACACTGTGTTTATGAGCCTAATATTATTATCATAATATAGGCTATCAATAACATGTTTGATATCATCGACTTTAATCTCGAAAGGCAAAATTAAAATTAAAATCCTCCTCTTCTGAATCAGTTCAACTTTTTTCTCGAAGTGCATGGTGAAAAAAATCTTCCTCCCCTCATTTTTTTTCTCATCCATGGCCCTAATACTCCTTCGTATCATCCCGAGTCCGTGGTCTCGAGCGTGCCAGAACAATAAATGAAAGGCACTTTTCTCAGGCGCTGTGAGTTGCAGAGTAATCCCTGATCGTCGCCTCACACACAGCTTGTCTGAGCAGCTGTCTGTATTGTTGGAATAAGACAGAATATCCTGAAACATAACAAGATATTCTACTACACATTTTACTCGGGAGATTTTGCAACAAACATGCCTGCTAAACGATATTAACCAGCTGCAGCGCGTTGGCGGACAGCACTTCTGAACGACTTAGAAGCAATTAATACGGAGACTACGTGTTGTTTAATATGACATAACGTTGGCGCGTGTGTGTGTCTTTCGCTGAAAATGTGACCGTGACTTTTTTTTTGAATGTGGGTTTTGGGCAGGCAGCTGCTTTCCCCTTTTATCGGTAGCCTTCTGCGTACCACCACTGAATCTTTTAGTAGTACGCAGTACCGGACCGCACCGGCCTATTTTCACCCCTGCGTATAAATGATATCTGATATTGATTATTTTGATAGCTTACAAATAAGCGTATATACTGAGCTCTGAAAATACATACACAATATTCCATTTGACTGCTAATCAAGAGATTAGGGAACAGATTCAGGTGAAATAAAGAACTGTGAAGATTCAGTGTCTTGCTCGATGACATATTTTTTCTGTCTATGACTGCACTGAACCTGACACACTGTGTTGATGATAATGTGTATACAAAATGTGTGTGATTGAATCGCATGTCCTTCACCAGTAGATGATGAAATTCTTTGTGGTATAGTAGAACACAAAAAAGAAAGGCAGCTTCATCAGACTACAACTAGTGACAAGCAAAAATGAAATAATACCAATTGTCGAGTTTATTCAAATCTAATTTTCACTGGTTTAAAGGTTGAGCTGGATGCAAAATTCAAGAATCAGACATGTGGCCTGTGTGGTGACTTCAACGGAGTCCAGATTTATGATGAGTTCATCAGAGCAGGTAAATACTAAATAATAAATCTTAAAAGAAACGGAATTGTACAAAATTAGTCTTTACATAAACTCTTTCTTTTTCTACAGGGGATTCTGTTACTCCTGAGGATTACGGGGAGGTCTGGAAAGTCAATGGTCCCACTGAAAACTGTGAAGAAATCTCTACAGCTACAAAGACCTGTGCAGACCAGGTATGTGAAAATGGATTTGTTTTATATAATTTCATACACAACATTTAGGTACAATTTAAATACATCATATACTTTGAACCACAGAAAGACCTCTGCAAGAACCTGCTGTCAGGACCTGCCTTCCTCAGCTGTCAAAACCTGATTGATACTGACTCCTTTATCAAAGCCTGTGCAAAGGATTTGTGCCATTGTAAGAGCAACAGCACTTCATGCTTGTGTTCGACCATCTCAGAGTACTCCCGTCAGTGTGCTCACACAGGCGGGAAACCACAGCAATGGAAAACCACGCAACTATGTGGTAAGAGCAGCAATCAAGAACACATGTATGTTCAAGCTTCAATTGTTTCAGGGTAGTTATTTATCAAAATCAGTGTTTCTGATGTGCATTTTTTTTTGTGTGCTAAACAGCAAGAACATGCCCCTTCAACATGGAGTACAAAGAATGTGGTAGTCCCTGTACTGACACCTGCAGCAACCCCCAGAGAAGCCAAATGTGTGAGGATCACTGTATAGATGGATGCTTCTGTCCACCCGGTAAGTTCCCTGATGTTAAAACCAGCACAGATCATGTTAAGAGTCCAGCAGACTTAACCCCTAGCTTGTGTATCGGTGCGTAAAAAACATGGATGAAAACATTCTACGAAACGAGACTGGCTTTTCCTTTGATGCTGCTGCTAGACAAGGCCGGCCCCAGTAGGCTATAGCGGTGACATGGGTGAACATGAGCCCAATGAGACAGACAGCAGATATAAGGACAAAAGCAAATCAGCAGAACCAAAACAATCAGAAACAAAAATTACTAAAATGATAAATCTTGGCCTTGTATTTCTCAACCTGCTGTAGCTGCTGTCTAGTAGAAATTAGCCTGTCATATCTTTTCAAATACGATTTTATTGAAATGGCCTGTAGGGTGCTGTTTTGTTGCCCTCTCTTAGTTGATTTCGGGTATAGGTATTATCATTATATTCCATGTATCTAGCCTGGCTCCAGGAAAATTGGTGCGTCCGAATTTTATTGCATCAACGATCTATAAACATTAAGATCACAGACATTTATTTGTTGTAATGAACCCAGTCCGCCCATTTCCTTGTCCCCTCAACACTGTTATCAAATGTTTTCACTTCAAGGTCCCCTACACTCACACACATTAGACCAAGGACCCCCATTTGATAAGATTTGTGCTTTTAGATGTTTTATTATAGAAAGTGTTTGTAACCCATGACCAAAATAGTCATACATTCTGTCGTTGGGTTACCTATGGATGGAATTATAGTGAAAATAAATTATTCCTCTTTTGCTTAGGTCCCCTAAGAACCCCAGGTACCCCTAGGGGTCCCCAAGCCACAGACCACTTTGAGAGCCACTGCTTTATACAGTTGCGATGCTGCAGTATATTGGACATAGGTTTGGCTGCAATCATTTAGGTGCATAATTATTATTGCCTAATGTATTGCAAGATACTGTAAAAGGTGTCAGTTGTCAAATAACGAACAGTGAAATCTAAATGAGGTGCTTGTATTAAATGCAGTTTTGTTTTAATTTTGGACGGATATGCTCAAGATTTAGTCTGTTGTTATCTGTCAAAACGTTTTAACATGTGTTAATATTTCAAAAATATTGTCTGTTATGTTCTATTAATCTGTGCACACAAATTATTGATTGAGAACACAAATTAAGTAATTGAAAAGCTATTTACTAATTTTCCCATGACACCTACGGTGTTCTGCACACTTGGGACACTGATAATAAAATAAGTGCAAAATATTTTGCAATATAAATGTAGAGCATTCTACTCTTGGTCTAAGAACTAAGCATGTCATTATATCTCTCCCCAGGGACTGTCTTTGATGACATTACACAAAGTGGGTGTGATGCTGTCAACCAGTGCTCCTGCTTACACAATGGCAAGCCATACAATCCAGGGGAAACATACTCAAGGGCATGTCATGAATGGTAATCACTTTCTTAAATTCATTATATTTATATTTACAACGTGTATTTAAGATGGTCTGTCCAGTTGAACTAACTATACTCTGTTGACAGCACCTGTACTAAGGGTGAGTGGAGCTGCAAGGATATGAACTGTCCTGGTATCTGCTCCATACTGGGGGGCTCCCACATCTCCACCTATGATGACAAAACATATACTTTCCATGGAGACTGCTCTTATGTCCTCTCCAAGGTTAGAAATTCAAACTAATTCATTTATCCTTTTTACACAAAATTGAAGTACAGGTAAATAAGAGAACAATTTGTAATCAAATATATTTTAATCCTCTTGACTTTAGGAAACTAATGGGACTTTCACTGTCCTTGGTGACCTGGTCAGATGTGAAAAATCAGACAAATCAACTTGCCTGTCTGCAGTCACTCTAATGCTGCCAAAACACACGGTAATATTACAGTATACTATGGTTCTCTCTTAATAACGTGTAATGTGTGGAAATATGTTTCCTGATGTTTTTTTGTCATTTTTTCCCGCAGCAGATGATTGTAGTTGAAGCCAACGGACAGGTCTTTTATAACAAATTGGTCTCTCAACTGCCTTTTTTCATGGGTGAGGGACCCGTTCTGTTAGTTGTATGTTTAGATATTGACATTGCTGAGTAAAGTAAAAGTCTCTTTATTCAATGTGAAAATGTTTTTTTCCTTCACAGATGACATAACAGTCTTCAGCCCATCGACATTCTTCATTGTTATCCACACCACCTATGGGCTTGATCTTGAGATTCAGCTCACACCCGTTATGCAGATCTACATCAAAGCCAGTGTGTCCAATAAGGGAAAACTCAATGGTGTGTTTTAATTCTTGAGCACATTTGATAATAGTATTAAACATCAACCTTTTACAGGGAGTACATCAGTGAGTATAAAGTCAAAGTATCTTTTTTCAGGCCTTTGTGGAGATTTTAATGATGTTGGGGCTGACGACTTCAGAACCACAAATGGATTGATTGAGGGAACGGCTGGGACATTTGCCAACACATGGAAGACCAAATCAAGCTGCCCCGATGTGACAAATATACTAGGGGACCCCTGCATTTTGAGCGTAGACAAGGGTAGGTCGCAGGCAGTATGCTCCATATTTTATTGTCACTCTTCAAAACCCTCTATCAGTAAACAGGTTTATTTGCTTTCTTTTAGAGAAATACGCCAAACACTGGTGCTCCTTGCTGTCAGACCCAAAAGGGATTTTTGCCAAGTGCCATTCTGAAATAAACCCAGAAAACTATCAAGCTGTAAGCAGTGATTTCTTTTTGTATATAGTCTAATGTGTGTGTATTAATGTATTTGTGTTATGTTGCTTATTGAACAACTGTACATTTCAACTATTCATTAAGCTTGTTGCTGCTTCTCTCTGCAGTTTTGTATTTATGATACTTGCGCCTGTGAAAACAGTGAGGAGTGCATGTGTGCTGCCATATCGTCCTATGTCCATGCATGTGCTGCTGAAGGTGTCTTACTGAATGGATGGAGGGACACCACGTGCCGTAAGTTTTACTCAAAATATAAAAATGTGCAATAAAGGAAATTGGTGTTTATTTATAGTATTCAAACCTTAAGCGATATATTTCCTTTCAACAGAGAAATACACAAGGGCCTGCCCTTCTACTTTGGTGTACGACTACCAGATGAAAAGCTGTGGTCGCACCTGTCGCTCTCTTAGTCAGTCAGACCTAACATGTGAGGTTGAAATTACTCCACTTGATGGCTGTGGCTGTGCTGAAGGAACTTACCTAAATGAGAAGGGGGAGTGTGTATCAGCCTCACAATGTGCTTGTCATATGGGAGACACAGTGGTGCGGCCCAGGCACGTCATCAGGGTCCATGGACAAACTTGGTGAGGATTTCACAAGTTTTCTTGTAAAATTTAAGCAAAACAATGTTTTTTATTGTAATATTTTGGGCATTTTATTAGTCAGCTGATCGTAGTGAGATGAAATGAGAGGAGAGAGGTGGTGAACACGATGCAACAAAGGTTCATGGCAAGAGGATGAACCAGAGATGTTGCAGCTAATGGTTGGTGCCTTAACCTCTCAGCCACAGTCTCCTGAGTGAATTGTGGGTCAACTTCACTCACTTTTAAAGTGTAGAGTACGTCCAGTACAGTGTTATTTTTTAAAACTAAAATCACTAAATAGTGAATTGCTGCATTAAAGAGTGCAGCATTTCAAAATAAGTAGCCTAGCAATGGTTGCCCTTCATGTTGTGGCAGACCCTCTGGGATCTCCACTGCTAATTGCAGGGGTGGAAGTGTGTTCCACAACTTAACTGCTTGACAGAAACATGACAAATAATATATCACATTTTTTTTACTGCGAGTGATGATTAACCCAAAAACCCCTCAGTATATTGTACTCAGTGAAGTACGGCCCTTACCGGCCTTGCCTTAAGTTTAACTTGTAAACAACTTTTCTTCTATTATTTTCAACAAAACAAATTCTTTATCCCTCTGTTGATGTTATTGGGCCTAAGCTTGAATTTGCTAATTGCTGATGCAATAGTTTCAATATTGATGGTTTTTAATCCATAATTGCACTTTTTATTGCAATGGTATTGATTTCATTTGGTAATACAGCGGTTCAGTGGACAGGAGGAAGATCCAGGGGTTTGACCTTGTGTCAGCATGGCTTTCTTCTCAAGGGATTGGTTTCACTGGACACAGGCATTTCCAGAAACACTGTTGTGTCTGTTGAACTGGAATCACTAAACTTCCCTATGTCAATGTAGTTTTCTGTTTGTTGCAGTCAAGTTAGCCTATGTGTAGACAAAGACAATGTTTTTTTGGCTCAGTGACCCTGCGTTGGTCTGCCCGAGCCCCTGTGTTAGCACCACCACTGCATTGACAGCCTGTCTGCATTCATATGAATCAGAGGTCTGCGTTTTTTTCATGTAGGGCACAAATTAGCCTGAACATGGCCTAAGGAAAACTGCAGATCCTCAAGGCTAGACCAATTGGGAACCACTGTTCGAGTTTTAGTATCAGAAAGAAACTGAGCAACAACTAGCAAGAATTAACAAGAAAATGTATTTCTCTTCTTTGTCCACCTTGTTTGTCTTTCTATGCATTCTAGCTCCTGCCATGGTGGAAAATTAAACTGTACAGGAAGCCACAAAAATGAATGTAGGTACAAAGCACTCACCCCATCATAGTATTCCTACTATAGCGAAGTATGAAAGCTATATGGTGATGTCCTTTGTAACACACTATCATTGTCATCAGCATGCGCCAGTCCAATGGTTTTCTTCAGCTGCTCCAATGCAAAGCCAGGTGACAAGGGATCAGAGTGCCAAAAAAGCTGTCAGACTCTGGACACAGAATGTGTAAGAATATCACTAACACTAGCGCATTACTATTGTTGAATATTCTATACATGTATGCTAAAGCAGCAGAATCACATGTTAACTACTCTACTATTAAACTGTATAGGTCAACACACAGTGTATCTCGGGCTGTGTATGTCCTGCTGGTCTGATGGCAGATGGTAAAGGAGGCTGTGTTGAGGAGAAGGACTGTCCCTGCCCACATAATGGACAATTTTATAATTCTGGACAGACTCTCACTGTGGACTGCAACACCTGGTGAGCTTTCATATCTTACCCTGATGAAATGCTGTGTCAGCTCTCTGTTGTAGTCACTTTTTTTTTTAAATTGAGGACATACATTGACATTAATTAATCCTTTTAAATCATAGCACCTGCAAAAACAGTAAATGGAATTGTACACATCATGAATGTGGTGGAACCTGTACCATATATGGAGAAGGGCATTACATCACTTTTGATGAAAAGGAATTCTCCTTTAAAGGGGGCTGTGGTTACATCTTCTCGCAGGTATAGCACATATTTTTGTTTAGTATTTGTGATTAGTCAAAAATCAATCTTGTCATACTAATATCAATATCTTGCAGGATTATTGTGGGGATGATATGAATGGCACCTTCAGGGTCGTGACTGAGAGCATCCCATGTGGAACAACTGAAAGCATCTGCTCCACTGTTATCAAGCTCTACTTAGGGGTATTTAACACTATTATATGCAATTGAAATAATTCTTTTAAAAGAATGCTGATTATAACTTTATGGGACTACAATGAGCGTGTTTTATTTCTTTCAGAACAAAGAAATTGTTCTTTCAGAAGAAAATGTCAGAGTTATTGAGCAAAGCAAAGGGGTGGACATACCCTATCACATCAGCACTATAGGTACATATCTTGTCATTGAGGCAAAGAATGGCCTTGTTGTCATCTGGAATAAAAAGACAACACTGATGATCACACTCAGCTCCACATTCAAGGTGAGTGAGCAGATATACAGGTAGCCAAGTGAGATACATGTTAATAAGGTTATCATTTTACAAAGTAAGCGGATCTCATTTTATACCAGGGCAGAGTCTGTGGTCTGTGTGGGAATTATGATGGGAACATCAAGAATGATTTCACCACCAGAAACAAAGAAGTTGTGGTTGAAGCCCTTGAGTTTGGGAACAGCTGGAAAGTGTCGCCTACCTGTCCTAATGCAGACAAGCTAAAAAATCCCTGCAGTCTGTACTCACACAGGCAGGCCTGGGCATTAAAACACTGCAGCATTATCAATAATGAAGTATTTGCTGAGTGCCATTCAAAGGTAAGAAAACTGCCAATGAATGTCACATGGCATATATAGTCATTGTAATTAGTTTCAGGTGTACAGAATGGCTTTATGTATAACTAGCAAGGAAAATACAATTCAGCTTCTGCTTGCATTTACAATGGCTTCCTTCAAAAAGGTGGATCCCCAAAGCTTTTATGATGCCTGTGTGAAAGACACATGCGCCTGCAATACAGGGGGAGATTGTGAGTGTTTCTGCTCAGCAGTAGCAGTCTACGCAGCAGTCTGTAAAAAGGCCGGGGCCTGCGTGAAATGGAGGACTCCCACAATTTGCCGTACGTGTTTTATTTGTGTTTCTGTGAGGAGATAAAATGAATATTACCATGTATTATGTCATCTGTCAGCATCAGCATCGGAATTTAAAGGTTCTGTAAAGGATTGTCACAGCCACTAGGTGTCGCACTAGACCACCAGCATCTCAGACCACAACAAATGCTTTGTCAGGCACACCTCAGAGCACACTGAAAACAGCCACTAAACACACAAGTTGCACAATTGAATAAAGTTACCGTGTACATAAGAGCCAACAATAAACAATCCAGCCACAACCATTAGCCCATGCTTGTATTGTTGTGACATGCTGCACAGCAATGCTGGCAGTAAGCCAGCTAGCAATAGCAACATTTGCTGAACAAATTCATGGTTGCACAAATTACTCGGAGGGGGACTCATACACAAATTATTACTGGTACTAGACTGGCTACTAGTGGCGGATCTAGAAAATTCTATATGGGGTGGCAGAGGGGTGGCAAGAGGTCTTGGCAGGGTGGCATGGGGGCACGGTATGTGGGAATCCCCATATACTGTATATGTAAATGGATTCAACAAAAGAGCCACAAAAATACTTTTAAACTATTTATTGTTATATCATGCCCAGTATAAACCCACTACCCAAGTGATTGTAGTTTCTACAACAAAATTCAGTTTGGCATTCTCATAGAAGCAGCAGGCACAAGTTTAAAAATACAGATTGACACAGGACAAAAACTAAATAAAAGGGCAACACATTAGATAAAACAACAACATACCATGGTCCAGCTGGAATTGCAGAAGGAGGACCCTCTGTCTCCCTATCATCATCATCTGCCTCCTTATCACTCCTTGCCTCTGTCACTCTTTCTGAATCTGAAACTTCATCTTTATCCCTCACATTAATTTCTTCTTTTTCCTCTTCTTCTTCACTTATTTCTTCCACTCTTCATTCTGTGGCCTTCTCCTGCTCTGACCCTCCTGGTCTCTCCAGCATGCTGTCTTCTTCTCCTTTTTCATTTCTCTCCTACTCTTCTTCCTGTTCAGTCCTCAGCATTTTCTTGCCAAAAAAACTGGCAATATCCCTACTTTTACATTTCCTTTTTCATTTTAATCACTCCAGCTACTCTGGCCTGCGGGAGTCAAGATGTGAAAAGCTCTAGTTAAAATCCTTGTATCTGATAAATATAACAAATATAAGATTTATCACACACACACAAGCAGTTATGTTTAGACTACTTAAGCCCATTGTGTTTGTCATTTTCCAAGTTTGACAGTAAGGGAAGCAACCTGGTCTAATTTGTGCAGCCTCATTGCTGTGATATGTGAGAGTATGTGGATTCTATAGTACTGCTTAGCTAATCAAATAAAAATGATCGATCTCCTAGCACTGTCACTGTCAGTTGTAACTTAACGCCCCGAAACAGCGACCCTCTGTTAAACGTTATCAATTCAAACATGCCAGTTTTCAATATTTTGTATCAAGCTCTTCTGGTCTTTAATAAAAATCAAAACTAATCAAAGTGCAAAATGCTCCTACAAATCATGAGTGAGCAATTTCACTTTTGGCTAATGATTAATGGACGTGCTGTTATTGCTGAGTCGCCTTTATCTTACATTAAATTCATTCCAAATTTAACTTTTCGTTAAATTGGTGCGTTTAAACGTCACCTGGGGAAACCAACCGTTCTCGGAGCACCTCAGCTGTTCCACTCTTTGCAGGCAGACTCGCTCTGTGTGAACGCCACTCTGCACGTTTGATGCAGGGCCGTGGCTAAATATTTGAGAAGCCTAAGATAACATTTACAATGATTCACTTTTGGTCAATTCATTGTTTGATTCAGTGCTTTGGGAAGATTGTGGACATAGTGGCAGTTTGTTTTTAGTACAATTTTAAAAACACAAAAGTTAGGGGGGCAGCTGGGGGGGCAAGGCTTTACAGTGGGGATGCAGCTGCCCCCCCCTTGCCCCCCTGTAGATCTGCCCTTGCCGGCTACCAAAACAAAGACCAGAGAAACTCAGATTACAACACACAGAGGGGGTGTGACTTTGTTGTCTGCTAAGGACGCCATTACTACACTTAGCTAATCTTTACATAGAACATAGTCTCTCTTTTACAGAACCTTTAATAATATAGTTTTCAAATTAAGGCTGACACTCATTGTATTATAAAGGTTTCATAGTTAATGTTAATTAAGTATGAGAATAACTATATTAATGTCCCTTTCTTTGTTCCATTAGCTCTATTCTGTGATTTTTACAACCCTGATGGAGAGTGTGAATGGCACTATGAGCCTTGTGGAAAACCTTGCATGAAGACATGCAGGAATCCCTCAGGAATATGCTACAATCAAATCCCAGCATTAGAAGGTACAAATGACATGAAAGGGATTATATATGTATAATTAAGGCTACTATTATTTAGAGAGAAATAATTGACCATGAATGGTCTTTTCTACTTAGGCGGTTTAGCAGAAATATGCTTTTTTTGTGCTTACTGATGTGTTATGGATTTTTCATTCAATTTCACCACTCAGAGTTGCACACAAGGTTTAGGTTAGACACCTTGTCAGCACCTGTTCTTTTCTAGTTTTGCAGTTTAATTTAACATGTAACTTTTTAAGGGTGCTATCCAAGATGCCCACCTGAAAGACCTTATGTGAGAGAACCTACCATGGAGTGTGTATCAAAGGAGAAATGTGGCTGCTATGATGATGAAGGAAAACATTACAAAGATGGGGAATTCATGCCTCCAAAGGAAAACTGTCACAACTGGTAAGAAAACTTCCTTAGTAATGCTAGAGTTGGTGAAAAATGAATAATTATTTATCATTATTAATCAATAATAATTAATGATAACCTATATATTTTTTAAGAGCTGTTATACTGAAATAATGTACACTTGTTCTTCAACTATATGGAGTGAAAACTATCACAGTAGCTATCCTTATATGTATTTATATAGTAAAGAAATTAAAGTGGCAATAGACAAGTTTTTACTTCATCTTATCATTGTAAAGTAAATGTTGATTTCAAAATTTAATAGCTAAGGAATAATGATGCTATCTGCATTTAGATCGGTTCCCTATAAGCCTAGCTTCCACTATGCAATTCTGTCTGCCACTGGGCACAAAACTTTATGAAATAATTAAGACTCAATTTACAGCACAAAAAAAGCACGTCTGCTGCTGTGCAACCAAAACAGAAAGAGGGTAGTTCCTTTGTTTTCCCGAGTAGTCATCTAACTGTGGAAACCTGGTGAAAGAAAAGAGCCTTATTGTCGGAGAAGGCAAAGAAGGTGAGGACAGAGAGTGATAGAAACTGAGGTAAAACAAGAGTGAACCTCAGATGGGCATTAACTCGATGGAGAAAGCCATGGTTGGACTAGGATAAAAATTCAGCCCTGGACTTATCCACCAGGACTAGAGAGACGGTCGGTAAAGAGATTGACAGGGTTAGTAAAAGCAGTCCCGATGGCTTTCTTACTATGGAGAGAGCTCCAAACCGACACTCAGTTGGCCTTATTTCTACTTATTAATACAACCAGGGGTTTTACTCTGCCTACATCATTGCACTGAGATCGAGGTTTCAAGTTCAAAATCTTAAAAGGTTAAAAAGTTGTTGTTCTTCTAAATTCTTACATCTATGAATCATTGTCCATTTGATAATATAAACAAAGAAACCATTTTCTGCTGGTGTCCTTTCATAAAATAAGCAGTAGTTAAACTTACTATGTTCAGTTATATTTGAGCCAGTCTTTGTGCAGCGGCACCAACATTAATACTACTTGGAAATGCAAGGGGGGTTAAGCTGAAAGGTTGCCGATTGCCACTTTAAGGTAATTGTGAAAATAACTTGAAATGAGACAGAAGAAATTAAATATAGACATAAGGCAAAAAATTTACATTCATTCTGTTTACACTGTACATATTTTCAAGATTAACTTTTCTTCCTTCATTTATCTTTCAGTTATTGTTCCTCAGCAAAGGTGAATTGCAGCTATGATGTCCACGGTGAGAATCATAAACATTATTATGGTTATAATTAGTTTTGGGTGATATACAAATAATATGATATATGATATATGATATATATCTTGATATTTTGAAATCTCCTATAAAGCACCTCATAATTGCATAATTTAATACCTTGATGTATAAAATCGCAGGAGTATGATGATTCCAGTCCTTGCAACATTTGTCTGAATTAAAACAGACTTTTTTTGCTGTATATTCATCAGTCGTTTCTATTAGAACAATTTTAAATTTGCAAAAAGGGAGAAATCATAACCAAATGACAAGACTCCCTGAGAAAGAAATTTCACCCTAAGGTCTTTGTTTTTCATTTCAGCTCCCATTTTAAAAGGTTAGAGTGGCCTTTTTTTCAAGCATCACATGCGCGGTTTCCAGCAAAATAGACATGCTAGCAACATTGCATAAAACAGACACCTTTGGAGGGGTGGGGTAGTGTTTGTGAGAAAGAGACCACCACAGGAGAAAGCATGAGGAGCGAAATGCCTATGTGACTTTAATGCCGGTGTCTTAGAAGACTTATGTGACAATTTATACTCGGTGTTGGTGATATAGTCATTTCCTTTATTCCACATGAAACAAGCTGCAATACATCAATTATATTTGATATATTGCCCAACCCTAGTTATAGTTTTACCGATTGCCTCAGTTCTCAATGACAAAGCTACATAATGTACAAATTAATTGAAAAGACAATATTATGAATGGTATGAAAACAATAAAGATTTGAATGATGCCTTCTCTTTTTTGCAGCTTGCACTTGTTCATATAAAGGACATATATACAAGTATGGAGATAAGGTCTATGACACACATGATGGAGATGGAACCTGTATCACTGCTGTTTGTGGGAAAGATGGAAATATTACCAGAAATATAAGAAGCTGCCCTACAACTCCACCCACCCAAACATCAACAACAACAGCCTTTACTTTCATCACATCTGGTAAGAAATAGACTTTCACATCATAAGAGTGGAAGATTTCTAGTGAGTGAATTTTGAACATTTGAAAGATGACTTGATGATTTACCCTTTTACTTTTTTTGGCATCACAGAAAAAACAACCTCAACAACGAAAGAAATGACAATCAAAACAACAAATCTCATCTCTCCCACTCCAAGTTTTACAAGTGAGGTCGTGACCACCACCACAACAACAACCACAGAAAAACCCACCTCCACTACAACCACAATCACAGAAAAACCCACAACAAAAACCACAGAAAAACCCACCTCCACTACAACCATAATCACAGAAAAACCCACAACAACAACCACAGAAAAACCCACCTCCACTACAACCATAGTCACAGAAAAACCCACAACAACAACAACCACAGAAAAACCCACCTCTACTACAACTACAGTCACAGAAAAATCCACCTCCACTACAACCATAATCACAGAAAAATCCACCACCATTACAACAACCACTGAAAAACCCACTAGCACTACAACCACAGAAAATCCCACCTCCACTACAACCACAACCACAGAAAAACCCAAAACAACTAAAATCATAGAAAAATCCACCACCACTACAACCACAAACACAGAAACACCCACGAGCACAACAACAACCACAGAAAACCCCACTTCAACAACAACAACAATCACAGAAAAACCCACAACCACAGCAATAACAGGAAAGTCAACAACAATAATCACTGAAAAGCCCACTGCCCTTACGACTAAAAAACCCACAACACCTGCTGAAGAAATTACAAATCCAGTGGTTACATCAACACCACATACAAAACCACAGGGTGAGATTACAACTACAATATCTACAGAAAAGCCCAGCACTAGTTCTGTAACAACCATAGAAAAACCCACAACAACCACAGAAAAACCCACCACTACAACAACCACAACCACAGAAAAACCCACAACAACCACAATCACAGAAACACCAACCAGCAAAACAACCACTGACTGCTTTCGTTGTAAGTGGTCAGACTGGATAAACAATGATTACCCTGACAATGGTGGAGATTATGAAACCATAGACAAAATTACTGATCCAGATCTAAATGTTTGCAGTAAACCTCTGGAAATTGAATGTAGAGCAAAAGAATACAAAGATATACCTTTGAAAAACTTGGAACAAAAAGTAACATGCAATCCAACAAATGGACTAATCTGTCATAACAAAGATCAAGATACATCTCCTATTTGTCTCGACTATGAAATACGAGTCAAATGTTGCATTAACATTTGTGGGCCTTCAACCACAGTTACATCTTCACCAACAACTACAACAGAAAGGTCCTCCACAACGTCAGTAACAACTACAGAAAAGCCCAGCACTAGTTCTGTTACAACCATAGAAAAACCCACAACAACCACAGAAAAACCCACCACTACAACAACCACAGAAAAACCCACCTCCACCACAACCATAATCACAGAAAAACCCACAACAACAACAACCACAGAAAAACCCACCTCCGCTACAACTACAATCACAGAAAAACCCACTTCCACTACAACCACCACCACAGAAAAACCCACCTCCACCACAACCATAATCACAGAAAAACCCACCACCACTACAACAACAGTCACAGAAAAACCCACTACAACAACAATCACAGAAATGTCCACCAGAACAAGCAGAAGTACATTAAAGTCCACCACCTTGACAACAACAGAAAAGTCAACTGCAACTTCCACAATCAGTGAACGACCCACAACCACAACGAAATCAACCACAGAAACACCAGTTGTAACAACTGAAAAAATCATCACAGCCACAGGAAAGCCTACTACCCAACCATCAACGACAGAGAAGCCCACTTTTGAAACTCCAACTGCAACACCTTCAACTTCTCAGTCTTCAGCTTCAGGCAGAACAACTTTATGTTTTTGCAAGTACCTGGATCAGATTTTCTCTCCTGGTAAGTAATGTGCTTAGCTCGTGCTCGTCATCATTTGGTTTTCATACTAGTACAATGATATTTTGGTCATAGTTACACTTCTCCTTACCATGTAGCATGCCAGAACACCTTAAGTGAGAGATGTTTGTGCTCTGATGTCAAATCCTATTTGCACTGAGATCTGTTACCAGAGTCCACAAATGTGGTAAAACTGATGTGTATACAGGCAATACACAAATGCTAACAAACACAATTGGCTTCATTCAGTTCAATAAAGGGTTTTTTCATCCTTATCTATGCAATAGTTACCTTTAATGGTTAGCCTGCATAGTGGAGGGATAAGTAACCACAGTTTGGTCATTACCTCGTCCCTACTGGTGCTGTAGTCAAAACATGCATCAATTGGAGCAATATTTAGCTACGATTTAGTTGGAATGATATGGTAGAGTAAATCAATTTCCCCCATAGACTTTGCATTTAAGCATCAACTTTGAAAACATTAATGTGGTCAGACTTGTATTAACAAAAATGCATTAAAAAGACAACAGCAACCCTGGCTTTTGATCTAACTTCATTGTTTCCCCCCCATATAGGTAGTTTCATGTACAACAAGACTGATGGAGAAGGCTGGTGTTTCACTGCATACTGCAGTTTAACTTGTAGTGTTGAGAAGCATGCTACACCATGTCACTTCACTACTCCACAAGCAACTAGCACCACCACATTAAGCCCTGCCACTACAACACAAAGTGCCTCAACTGTAGTCAGTACAATGACAGGATCCACATTGAAGCCTTTCAAAGACTGTCCATATCTAAAGCCACCTAGAAAGGTATTCAAATTCAGTTATATAAACATTTACTTGGAACACATTAGAACACAGGCCAATTGTTATCTTATTTAAATTCCTTTCATTCATTAAGGTCCCAGTTAGCTTAATCAAAGGTGACGCTGTTCTTCCTGGTGTCCAATCACATAATTAACAAACAACATAAAAACACATTCAAGCATCCCATAACAACAACTCACAACATACAAAACCAGACAGAGATATTACACAAACACATAAATAAACAAATAGCTCCAAAAAACAAAATATTTTACAGGTAAGTAATATGACATTGCTCAGCAATTTATATGTCACTAAAACACGTAACACTTGCATATACTGCAATTCAACTTACCATTATATCTAAGTACATTTTCCCTTGTTCCCTGAATTTCACAAAATTATAGATGTATATATTAAAATAAAATATGCATACATTTACTTAGGGGACTCAAACATAATATTTCTTTTGCTATTCTTAGTTTGTTAAAAAAGCACTACTTTGCCATTTACAGCATGGCGAGTCATGGAAGCCAAACAACTGCACCACAGCAACATGTGACGATGGTAAAGAAATCACAGAACATGTGCTATGTGAAAGCATGACCATGCCTGTATGCGAAAATGGGCACCCACCAGTTAAGGTCTATGATGAAGCAGGCTGCTGTTTTCACTACAGCTGCAGATGTAAGCTCAGACAAAAACATTTTAAAGTTCAAGCAGCATCATAAGACTGCTGCACATTCATGCAGCAAAACACAATATATAGTTTTCTCTGATGTAACATGTAATGTTATCTCAATCTAATATTTACAGGTGTTTGTACTGGCTGGGGAGATCCTCATTATACGACATTTGATGGTCAATACTACAGTTTCCAGAAAAATTGTACATACGTCCTGGTCAAAGAGATCATTCCCAAACACAATTTTAAGATTCTCATCGACAATGAAAACTGTGATGCCTCTGGAACTGTGACCTGTACTAAAGCCTTGATTGTGTTTTACAAGGAGTATGAAATTATTCTTTCACAGGAGAGAATCCCAAAGACCGTAAACTTGGTAACTATGGCTACAAAAAAACTTGAATATATTAAATGATATGCAATGCTAATCTGAAGAAAATGTTTTGTCTTGTGTTATATATGGTGAATATGAATAAGCCTGAGGCCTGTTTAGAAAGACTCTTACAAATGTTACAATTGTTTAGGTGCACATCAACGGCAAGCGGGTATTCCCAACTTACTCTAATAAAGACTTCATCATCACAAGTACAGCAATTCGGCTTTTTTTGAGAATCCCGGCAATTGATGCAGAAGTGACATTCAAAGGACTTGCATTCAGCGTTGAATTGCCATTTGCCCTTTTCCACAACAACACAGAGGGACAGTGTGGTAAGCTGATAAGAATTTGTTAGCATAAACTTTGTGAAAAGCAAATGAGGGTGCATGTTGCATTCATAGATGTAACTGCCATTGGATTTAACAAATGTGGTAACAAATGAGTTGTAATATCTGCCATGTTCATATTTATTTTCACAAGGTACCTGTGACAATAACAAGAAAAATGACTGCAGATTACCAAATGGCCAGATTCATCCCTCATGCTCTGAGATGGGATATCACTGGCATATACCCGACAAGAATAAGCCATATTGTGAGGAACTGTCTCCTCCACCAACACCAGGACCTACACCTACACCAACAACCTGCAAACCTGATATCTGTGAAATTTTGATCAGCAAGTAAGGATTTACAGAATAAACATGAACACATTATACCACTTCATTCAGCAGTATCACTCGATATAACACCCTACTTTCTTTCGGTTTGTACATTAAGGGTGTTTGAGAAATGCCAGGAAGTCATCGCACCAGAGCCCTTTTATGAGGCTTGTAAATTTGATGTTTGCCACATGCCGAATTCCACTGTGGGTTGTTCAAGTCTGGAAGCATATGCAATGTTGTGTGTTGAAGCATCTGTCTGTGTAGACTGGAGGAGCATCACGAATGGACAGTGTGGTAGGAGGGTTTTGTTTCAGTAGAAATCAAATAATGTTATTCTCAGATGTCCTGATTACCTTGTTTTTCATGTTTAAATCCACTTTCTCTTATTGTAGAATATAAATGTCCAGAAAATAAAGTCTACAAGCCTTGTGGACCAAGCTTTGTACCAACTTGCAATACAAGGTAATCCCTCAGTTTTATTTATGCAATATCACAAATTAAATAATGTCAGCATCTTGTAATTTAACAAGGCTAAGTTTCCATGCTTACACCTCTGAGAGGCTGTACTTAAGCTGACCTAAATGCTAACATCAGGATGCTAACATGCTCACAATGACAATGCTAACATGCTGACGTTAAGCAGATATTTGGTCATAAACCAAAGTATATACCACAAATTCCAATTTTGATATAATGGTGGTGCTAGAAAAAATAGTCAAGTGATTACCAAAGTGATTACAGTTGATCCTGATGGGGACATGAATGTCTGTAACAAATGTCTTGGCAATCTATCAAATGATTGTTGAGACATTTTAACTTACAACCACAAATGTTAACTGTATTGTGGCAATAGAGGAAAAGTCAGAGGATCACCAAAGTCATTAGTATTCATCATCTAGGGACCATGAACATTTGTACAACATTTCATGGCAATTAATATAACTGTTGAGATATTTCAGCCTGGGCCAAAGTAGTGGACAGACAGACATTGCTATCCCTAAAGCCTGCTAGCATGACAAAAAAATAAATAAAAAAATCAATACTCAGCACTGCATTATACACATCATTTATCATTTTATTCCTGAAATTATTATGTGTATTTTTCACCATCAACTGTCTTCACATTTAGATACAATGAGAAGTATGCACAATTCCAGGGAGAAAAAGCTGAACAGAACACTGCCTTTAATCAATTCATTGAGGGATGCTTCTGCCCAGAGGGGATGACTTTATTCAGTTCAAACTCTGACATCTGTGTCACCTCCTGTAAGAGCATTTTCTTTGGTGAAGAAAAATCTAATTCTTTGTGAATGAATGAATGTGCAGGTAAACTCAGTGTTTTTATGTTGAAGGTTGCACTGGACCTGATGGCCAACCCAAGCAGGTATGCTACGTTGCATGAAAACACTACATTGCATTCTTATTATTCACAGTGTATTTGTTGCTGTCATAACAACACTTCTGTTCCATCACTCAAACAGCTTGGTGAGACTTGGCAGAGTGGCTGTCAGCAGTGTGTTTGTGATCAGGACACTTTGAGTGTTCAGTGTAAGCCTCTCACATGTCCCACTCAAGAACCAGTTATCTGTACCAAGGTGGGTGAGGTGTTGGTGAACCGTACAGTGGACTGCTGTGAGAGACTGACATGTGGTGAGTGATTTGAAACACCACTCCTACATCTGCTGACAGTGTTTTAAGAGAGAGGTAGAACAGTTTAATCATCATGAGAATTATAACCACAGATGTCTGTGACTGACTGAAATAGAGTTGAGTGATTATGAGTGATAATTTTACAAGTACATATAGGCAAAATTACATCACAGTCTTTGTCATTAATTTATGTGTTTTATGATTTTGTCAGACCGTATCATGGTTATAATTTCAGGATTTTAGCAGGGCAGAGCAGCAGCTTGGAAATGGCTAGGAGGTTATCATATAGTCTTAATGGACTACATTTGAGTCACTATTTCGTACTTGTTCCATTGTCAGACAACATAAACAGTAAAACATGTAAATGAGAACAGCTTTATTGGAAATTCAGCTGCATTAAAATACTAGATATGTGAGCACATAGAGTAGGAGAGAAGCAAACAGATAAAGAACTGAAACTGGCTGACACAAATAAAAAATTTGCTGAATGTGTTGCAAATATGACACAATGATGTTAGCTGTTTACAGCAATTCCACAAGTTTTCAACTACGTCCTCAACTTTGCACATTGACCATACACGGTCCAGCCATATACAAGGTTTTGACCTTGTCTTGTTGATCACTGTCACTTATTATGCAATTAATTGACCCACTTTTATTTTAAGTTATGTTACAAATAATCACCTATTTTCATTTTATGTTACCCTCACCAACCCTGGAAATGTCTTACTTTTCAACCAACAGAATGTGATAACAAACGCTGTTCATTGCCAACACAGAAGTGTAAACTTGGATTTGAGTTGGACATCCACATATTGAATGATAGTTGCTGTGCTCAATCCCTCTGTGGTGAGTTCTTCATAAATGTTTCATTTAGATTTACTTAAAGTATTAGTGAGTGAAAGATTTACAAGCTAAACTAAGCATGAGGCTTTCATGTGATCATAATTGTTAACATGTTTTTAATCTAGTACCCAAAGGTGTCTGTGTCTTCAATGATACTGAGTACAAGGTAAGAAAATGTATACCATATATATTTTCAAGGTGCACTGTTAAGAATATATTGCACTGCCCTTCTGTATCCAGTGTAGTCACACCAGAGTCACATTTGCTTTGCTGGACTCTATATGAAATTGACTCAGACTTTACATTTTATTGTTTACAGCCAGGTATGGATTTCTCCAAAAACCCATGTGAAACATGCCACTGCACTGAAATTCAGGATCCCAACAGCAAGTTGAACACGATTAAATGTTATCAGAAGCAGTGTTTCATACACTGTCCACAGGTACTTTGCATGGAAATATTAAGAGTATTGCAGTTTTAATCATTTGAATTTGAAGCCAGTGAAGTTATATATGGTACTAAAGTATTTAACTTGAGAGTACATAGTAAATCTAGGGGAGCTCACTCATACACTTCACTCTCAGAAATCTACCTGAACTGTACTGCTGATCTGTGTGATAGCTGTTGATGCAAAGACTTTGTTATTTACATGTACAGGATGATTGTTTTGAAGATGTACATTTTGTGGATGTCGCCTCATGATACAAATGCTTATCAAGTTAAACTAAAATGCAAAACTAATGTCTTTTCACTTATCCATTTAGCATACAGTTTTGTAGATCTTTTGTTTTATTTGCTCAGGTTTAGGACATCTCATCTTTCCAAAACGATGGAGATGAATAAGATTTAGTTTGTGCTGCTGCTGAAGAAATTGTCCACTGTTTACTGTCTATTTTATGGACCATTCAGAGAAACATTGTCTCTGGAAAAAGTCTTCTGTTGATTTTTCTTAACAAAAAACCTTTGCGTTTTGAGCACCGCAAATGTTTCTTTTTTGTGATTGGGTTAAAACTATCATGATAGATGAAAGTATCCCGTAGATACTACCAGTCTCTAATTACGTATACATTTAATCGATTACAGTTCAGACCATATTGATTTGTGCATTTTTTTCAAATAGGGCTATGTGTATGAACACCAACCTGGACAATGTTGTGGAACATGTAAAAAGACAAAGTGTGTTTTAGAGTTCCCAGGTCTCACTCCGATAATTATTGAAGTAAGTAGATAGTAATGGAAACATCTTCAGAATCAGTGTCTGTAACCTTTAATTGTGTTATTAGTTACAATTGTGTATATGTACTAATTGACCACTTCTACACTTCTGACAGCCTTCTCAGTCTTGGTCACCACCAGGTGACAATTGTACCAAATATGATTGCCAAAGGGTGAAGGATGAGTTTATAGTCTCTAAAATCCAAACAATATGTGCTGAATTTCATCCAGAAAACTGCATTCCTGTGAGTATAATCCAGCTCTAAAAGGAGCATAAATTCTTATTTCTAAATGTCTGTTAATATCGCTGAACTGATGCTGACTCATCTTAACGTTCACTTCACATCCAAACTGCATCAAAAACAATTCAGAATTTGCTTTTGTCAAATTGAATAACAACAATTAGGGTCTGCTTTTTGTATTTATTAATTTTTGTTTGTACCTTTCTGAAATTAAACTTTTGATTCAATCTAATTAGTCTAATAAACATTTTAAATGTACTTGGATTGTGTAGAAGGCCAAAATTTGCACTGCAAGCCAAAACAAAATAAATATATCTAAATGGGCTAAAATGATAAATATTTTGAGCTGATGTGTATGGTTAGAGAAAAATGAGGGACATAAATACACCAAATGTGCTCAAATACACAAATAATGAAGAGGAAATAACTTAATATCGCCTTGAGCAAAAGCATTGGTAATACACTTGTGTGACTGTATAATTGTTACTGTTGTATACTTCACAGTCCATATTGTTTATATTACAGGGAACTGAACAGACTGACAAGTATGGTTGTTGCAAAACCTGTAAGTATTACTCAGTAAAATCTAATTAAACACTATTTTTCAGTGAACTTTCTTTAAAATGCATTTTTACATATATCTTATAAAATCCTATAAAAGTAATGGTTTCCTAATTAGTATAATTCCACTGGCAAGTGAGTCCATGGCAGTATGTGTCAATAGTGGCAGTATAAATAATGTCTCCATGATAATTTGTCTCAGACTGATACCTACAGGCTCATTCTGGAAACATATCTACATCTTTGTGGTCAGACAAAACCTATAATGTTGTTTTTTACATAAACAACAGTCTGACCGGAATTCATTCATAATGGTTCAAAGGCTAAACCTTCAATTTCCTCCCACATATTTGATGCTTTATTTTGTTTTGTCACTGAAATGATCATGTACCCACAGTTGTGTGCTGCATGTAATATTTCTGGAAAGATGAAAGAACAATTCATGTGTCATTCACAGGTACTCCTCATTACAACTGTCAAGTGAACAGGAACACCACCTATCTGCAGACAGAGAATTGCAAGTCAGTTGTGCCAGTGGAAATTGCAGCCTGTAAAGGATCCTGCGGAGCTTCCTCATCAATGTGAGATTTATTAGAAAGTATCTGAGGATAATGGCAGGATAAATGTTCATTTACATTGAACAGCAGGTGGTACACTGACACTGATCCTGACTGAACATTTATTTACAGGTACTCTGCGGAGAGCAACAAGTTGATGCATTCCTGCTCATGTTGTCAAGAAATGGCCACCAGTAAGAAGGAGGTGGAGATGATCTGCTCTGATGGCAGCAAGATAAAGCACACCTATGTTTCGGTTGACAAGTGCAGCTGCCAAGTTGCGAAATGTACTAAGAACTAATGAAAAAACTTTGAAACTGAAAACTTATCTGACTAAAGTACTCTTATAAACTTTGATGATTCCTCTTCAAAAACTATTAGAGAATCAAGACTCAATATGTGAAAACCACTGAAGACATACCTCTGTGCATTAGCTGAAGGCGTGGACCTGAGAACAGTCCAGTACAGGATATGTTACAGCAAATTAGTTGAATGTTTAAAACAGCGGCCTGAAAGGTTTTTCTAACATGAGCATCGCTTTGAGCTGTTACACCTTTGTGTTTTATGTCAGTAATGCTTAGGGCCACCGGTCCAGGTAGTGTTTCATGATGACAGCACATATTGGTGTCATGGTCTTTTGTAGCTTTTGAAGAGGTAGTTCCTTTTTCCAAACTTTATGATATGGTGTTTTCATGGTGTGTCTCCTCCTTAAACTGTGTATAATTTGAGAGATAAATGCAAGGTTGTGATATTCAGTGCATAGCAGTTATACTTTGCTATCCTTTCTTTCTTTGTACTTTCTTTTGCATTGGACATGAGGAATATATTGTGATCATATATGGGTAAAAATAAATTTAAAATATGAATTTAAATTTGAATTGTTTGTTGGCCATCATTTCTAACAGCTCCATTCACACAAATGATGATCCACTCAATGCAGCTTAGTGATAAAGATGTGTTAAGAGTATCCATGCTATTTTTGTCAAATATCAGTTGTGTCAAACTTAAAAACTATTGATTGTGTCCTTGTTTTTTCTTATTTCTCATTCAGATTTAACTTGGTATTGGTAATTTGTTATTAACGGGAAATCTTTTAATTTCATTAAATAATATTATTCCATTTACCTAGGTTCATGACTTAATAAAACGATTTCATTATTATTTTTTATGTTTTTGACATTGGCTAATAATTTAAATAATGGTATTAAAAATGTTTATACTTATACTAAGGATTTCTTAATATTTGGAATGTTAACAGTCGTTCCGGGCATATTCGCATAGAATGCTTCAAGTTGGCACATGACACTTTTGTGTAAATTGCAGCAGATATATGTGCATAGCTATTGTTGCATCACAGTCAACTACTGTTGCTGTCACAATCACTTATTGTTGCTTACAGTCACATTTTTGTTGCATCAGTCAAGTGTCTCTGCATCATAATGTCAATCACTTGTTGCATCGCAATCCCCTAATGTTGCATCAACAATTACCTTGTTGTATCACACTCACCTGTTGTTGCATCACTATCAACATACAGTACAGTATAACTACTACTACTAGTATAAAACCAATTGTATGGTAAGGTCTGCTAGAAAATAGTAGTACTAGCTTGTAAGGTATCTGTTATAGACCCCCTCCAATGAAAAACCAGAAACCAAAGTTTGTAATCTTGTTAACAGGTGTTAACAGGTGTTTTTTATACATTAAAAGACATCATGAGCAAAGTACGCAGTCAATGCCATAACTGCATATTTCCACTTTGAACTACAGTGAAACCAATGACAGTCTAAATAAAAAAAACGGATTCAGACAGCCAGAGGTTTCATATGTCCAAAACCTAAGGAACCAATCCCATCAAATTGCAGGACAGACCTGACAAGTATGGTTGTTGCAAAACCTGTAAGTATTACTCAGTAAAATCTAATTAAACACTATTTTTCAGTGAACTTTCTTTAAAATGCATTTTTACATATATCTTATAAAATCCTATAAAAGTAATGGTTTCCTAATTAGTATAATTCCACTGGCAAGTGAGTCCATGGCAGTATGTGTCAATAGTGGCAGTATAAATAATGTCTCCATGATAATTTGTCTCAGACTGATACCTACAGGCTCATTCTGGAAACATATCTACATCTTTGTGGTCAGACAAAACCTATAATGTTGTTTTTTACATAAACAACAGTCTGACCGGAATTCATTCATAATGGTTCAAAGGCTAAACCTTCAATTTCCTCCCACATATTTGATGCTTTATTTTGTTTTGTCACTGAAATGATAATGTACCCACAGTTGTGTGCTGCATCCCATCAACTTGCGGGAATTAATAAACCTGAAACCTTATCAGTACATAGAGCAAGAGTTTGCATTAGAACAACCACTAACACTGTGTCAGCCACTGTCAAATACAAGCTAACAAACAACATAAACAAATAGGCCTAACTAAGCTTACCGTCTCGTCTCGTCGTCTCCCGCTTATCCGGATCCGGGCAGCAGCCTCAGCAAAGAGGTCCAGACGGCCCTCTCCCCAGCCACTTCCACCAGTTCCTCCGGGAGAATCCCGAGGCGTCTCCTCTCACCAGCACACAACTTTCAACACACCAGAGTTCGCTACCGCGGGAGAATGTACCGAGGACGTATCCAAAGGCCAGCCCGCCGAGATTTTGAATAATCCCCGCCCACGCGGGTTCCTTGGTCGACCTCGAGGGTCTCCTCCGCGGTGGGACATGCCCGAAACACCTCCCGGGGAGGCGTCCAGGAGGCATCCTCACCAGGAGTGCCCGAACCACCTTCAACTGGCTCCTTCTCGAACATGGAGGAGCAGGGCGGGCTCTACTCGGCGAGTCCCTCCCGGATGCACCGAAGCTCCTCTACCTAGTCTCTAAGGCTGCAGCGCGGCCACTCCTGACGAGAGGACGCAAACTTCATTTCGGGCGCCGCTTGTATTGATGTCGCGATCTCGTTCTTGTCGCGTCCATTACTCAAGCTATGACCAGTAGGGAAGTGCAGGATCGGAACGTAGAAGTCGAGCCGGGTAAAATTGAGAGCTTCGCCTTGCCGGCTTAGGCTCCCTTTCCCAGCACAACGCGAGCGCGATTCAGCGGCCCCGCATCACTGCTGACGACCGGTCGCGCCATCCGTCATCCAATCGACTGACTCGATTGTCCCGCTCCATCCTATCCCCTTACTACATCGTGAACAAGATCCCCGAGGATACTTAAACTCTCCACCTTGAGGCAAGAGCCCCCCCACCCCCCGACCTGGAGCGGGGCAACCACACGGCCGTTTCCGGCTGAGAAACCGAAATGGCCTTCAGACTTGGAAGGTTGCTGATTTTCAATCCCAGCCGTTTGTCACACTCGCGCGCGAGACCGCCCAAAGCGAGAGCTGAAGGTCGTGCGCTCGATTGAAGAACTAAGAGGACCACATCATCCGCAACAAAAAGCAGAGATGAGATTCCTACAGCGCGGGCCATCCCGGAAACCAGAACCCAGGATTCCCACCACCCGGCTCGCGCCTACAAATTCTGTCCATAAAAGTTACCTAGACAGGAACGGTGACAAAGGCTGCCCTGGCGAGTCCGAACCCTACCCCCGGGGACAGGTCTCGCACTTCACTGCCAGGCTACGCGAACTGAGACTGGGGACAGCAACTCACGTCTTGGTACAGGGTTTATGGCGCAACTATCACTAAGCCGGGGGCCACTGCACCCACTACGTTCCCGTAGAGTGCCCCACGACAGGAGGAGCCTCTGCGAATGGGAACTATCGGACCGTATCGTACGAAGCCTTCTACCAGATCTTACAAAACACAATGTGGACTGGATTGGCAAACCCATGCTCCCTCCAGCACACCCAAGCAGAGGCGTAAAGGAGACGTGAGGTCCACAGAATCCACGCCCAGGACGGAATAAACCAGACATTGACCTCCTCCTCGATCTGAGGTTCAAACCTATCGGACGGAACCCTCTTTTCCAAGTACCCTGGTGTAAGGCAGTATGGTCATGCTGGCTGGGGGCTGAATTGTACTTGTCGAGGGTATAAAAGGCAGCCGTGTCCCTCTCTCGTCCTCTCACTTCCTGGTCCGAAGCCCCTTCCGCTTCCCGGCCTTCCGCTTCTTCCTCTGCTCTCGAGTCGGGTAGGTGCGTGGCTGCAGTCTCTGCAGGTTGCTTCTTTTTTAATCACATTAACCTCTGCATTGAATTGTTTAACTTTGTGTGGGTGTGTAGTGGTCCCTGGTGATTGAGGAGACGGTGGCGATTCTCCCTGTTCGCTATAAACATTAACGGACAAGGTACAGACACCTTAACATTTATGTTCCATTCCAACGATAGCCGTTAGCTCAGGTGTTAAACACCTCACCTGTCCAACTTTTTTATAGCGGATCCCGAACGCACCGCAGACGCTCCGGTCCAGTACAGAGCGGAGCAGAGCCTCCTGTCGCTATCCTCCTCGGGAGGGTTCCTGCTGTTCGGGATCTGTGGTTAACGGTGGATTTCAAGTAAGGTGCAGGAACACTGCTGCTTCGCCGGCCCGCAATCGGTGGTGGCTGGGCGCTGTGGACTGGCTTGCTGCCCCGTTCAATAGACTGACGGGTGTGCGTCTTTCCTGCTTCGCTGGCTTTTGCTTCGCTTGCTGCCTCTGCTACTGCTGTTAGGTGACGGCCTTTTCCTGCCGGTTGCCGCTCGCTCCCCCCCGGTCCTCCGGTGCCCGTTTCCCCTTCTGGGAGGCGGACTTAGTGGGAGTTGCTCCGTCACGACTGTGTGTGTGTGTGTGTGTCTGCGTGTGTGCGCGCGGTTGTGTTGATTTGAGAAGAGATGAATGGTCATATTTATTGACTGGCTGTGTGGATGAGTGAGCGTGTGCAGGGGTTGGACGGGATCGGGTATTGTTTTTTTTATGAATGTTTATGCATGTCAATTTCTAAGAATGTATTGGTTGAGCTAATGGGTTGGTCATTTATCATTTAGTTTATTTCAATTGAAGGATTGGTTAATTTCTTTTTTTTGTTATTTACCTCTTGTTTGGAGTTTCAGTCTTAGACTGTTAATATTGTTTGGTTTTGTTTCTTTTGGACAATTAGTAGTTTACGTTTTTTTTAATAAGGGGTTTGTGTTATTGTGCCTTGTGTTGATTAATTGTGTTTTCCCTTTCCTCCATAGTTGCTGAGAGCCGACGGTGGCAGCGGTGTCCTGGGTGGTGGTTCCCCTTTTGTGTGCCGTGATTTTGGATTTGGTTGTTTCGCACTTCACCTTTGTATGCGTGTCACGTGAGAGTGGGGTGCCCTTTTCTTTCGTTTGGACCCCCTCCCTCTACATTTTCCTCCACCGTTGGTCAGCTTCAGCTATTGGAGTAGGGTATTAATTATTAGCTTTGTTTTGAAATACCCTTTCTTTGTGTGACCAACCTATAATAAACGTGTTAATTATTTTTTTGCTACTGTGAACCACGTCTCCTGCCCTTCTTTGTATGACTTCCCTGTGTGCCTTTTCCTTATAGTCATATTAATTTACAGTTCCCTGGGTGCAATTCCCAGGGTGGCGTTGTTGGTTTCCTTTTTTTTTTTTTTTTATATAATTGAACTGGTATTACAATATTCTGGGCCCTCGAATCGCCACACTGGCATAGACCTTACCAGGGAGGCTGAGGAGTGTAATTCCACGGTAGTTGGAACACACCCTCTGGTCTCCCTTCTTAAAGATGGCGACCACCACCCCGGTTTGCCACTCCAAAGGCACTGCCCCCGATGTCCACGCAATGTTGCAGAGGCGTGTCAACCAAGACAGCCCTACAGCATCCAGAGCCTTGAGATACCCAGGGCGGATCTCATCAACCCCCGGGGCTCTGCCACCGCGCAGTTGTTTCACTACCTCGGCGACTTCTGCCCCGGAGATTAGATCATCCATCCCCAGGTCTCTTGGCTCTGTTTCCTCCACGGAATACGTGTTGGTGGGATTGAGGAGCTCCTCAAAGTATTCCTTCCACCGTCCGACTATATCCTCAGTTGACGTCAGCAGCTCCCCGCCCCCACTGTAAACAGTGTGAGCGAGTTGCCGCCTTCCCCCCCTGAGGCGCCGGACGGTTTGCCAGAACCTTTTTGGAGCCGATCGATAGTCTTCCTCCATTGTCTCACCGAACTCCTCCCACGTCCGAGTTTTTGCCTCAGCAACTGCCGCAGCTGCACTCCGCTTGGCCCGCCGGTACCAGTCAGCTGATTCCTGAGACCCACAGGCCAACCACGCCCTGTAGGCCTCCTTCTTCAGCCTGACGGCTTCCCCCACCGCCGGTGTCCACCAGCGGGTACGGGGGTTACCGCCACGACTGGCCCCAGCTACCTTGCGGCCGCAGCTTGCAACAGCTGCCTCAACAATAGCAGAGCGGAACAAGGCCCATTCGGACTCAATGTCCCCCACTGCCCTCGGGACGCGGTCGAAACTCTGCCGGAGGTGTGCGTTGAAAATCATCTTGACGGGTTCTTCCGCCAGGTTTTCCCAGCAGACCCTCACAACCCGTTTGGGCCTGCCAGGTGTGCGAGGCGTCTTCCCCCGCCATCTGATCCAACTCATCACCAGGTGGTGGTCGGTTGACAACTCTGCTCCTCTCTTTACCCGAGTGTCCAAAACATGCGGCCGCAGGTCTGATGATACGACTACAAAGTCGATCATAGACAGGCGACCTAGGGTGTCCTGGTGCCAAGTGCACCTGTGGACATCCTTATGTTTGAACATGGTGTTAGTTGTGGCCAAGCTGTGACTAGCACAGAAGTCCAATAACTGAACGCCGCTCGGGTTCAGATCGGGCAGGCCGTTCCTCCCCACCACACCCTTCCAGGTCACGCTGTCATTGCCCACGTGAGCGTTGAAGTCTCCCAGTAGGACAATGGAGTCCCCTTTTGGGGCACTTTCCAGCACCCGTCCCAAGGACTCCAAAAAGGGCGGGTAGTCTGAACTGCTGTTCGGCGCATAAGCACCGACAACAGTCAGAACCCGATCCCCGACCCGAAGGCGCAGGGACGCAACCCTTTCGTCCACCGGGGTAAACTCCAACATACAGGCAGAGAGCCTGGGGGACACCAAGAAGCCCACCCCGGCCCTCCGCCTCTCACCCGGAGCAACTCCAGCAAAGAGGAGAGACCAGCCCCTCTCAAGGACTTGGGTTCCGGAGCCGACGCTATGTGTCGAGGTGAGGCCAACTATATCTAGCCGGTATCGCTCGACCTCTTCCACAAGCTCCCGCTCCTTCCCCGCCAGAGAGGTGACGTTCCATGCTCCAAAAAACAGTTTCCGTAAAGTTTACCATTCTGATATATCTTTTAGCTGACAACAAACTCCTCAATCCTCAAAAAACTCCTAAGTCTGGGTCTGACTGTGGCCCAAACTGCCGAGTCTCTGTGATGTTTCCTCAGCTAACCATCTTGATAGGCACTGCTCTTTCACCTGTCAACCTAGCCCAAGCAGCGGTGGTGGGCGGGGCTTAAGACCTTAAACAGAATTTCTCAAAGAGGAAGTAAGTGTAGATGTGGTTCCAGCCCCAGTTTTCCATTTTTCCATTTTTCCCACTTTTTATGTGGGAAAACCATGTCAACCAAAATATTAATCATAGCAGAGTATCTTTACATAGTTTAAAACATGTCTGGACAGAAACTTGATCAAATATTGCTTTTTTAAGTTTGGATTTAAACATAACTGAACTCATATTTTGACAGAATGAGTGTTACTTAATAAAGGTTGTTATTTTAGCCAGTGGCGTAATTATTATTATAATTATTTTTCATATTAGTGTTATCATTATTTCTTACGGTTATTTGTCACTTCACCACAATTTAATAATTTTAATATTTATTAATATAATAATAATAATAATAATAATACATTTTTATGTAAGAAATTAAACCATAATTTAAGACATTTAACAATAAATGTCTCTTTATGTACAATGTATATATATATATGTATCAAGCACCAGCTAATTACACAAAGACCCATATCTGTCCTTCTTGATTGACATGTGTCAGCTTAAACTGTGTAGTTGTGGTTGTAGTTCTGACGTTGTAGCGAGGACCTTTTCCTCGGTCCTATCATTAGCTGATGTGCATTGTTTGGGCTACATTCCAAGTGGAGCATGTAATTGTTTACCTGCTGCGGGGGTATGTTCTGAAGCTAGTGATTCATAATGTCAGCTGTCACGCCATTATACTGCATTGCACCATCTGTCTTGAGGTCTAATGCTGCTGTCCTGTATACGATGAAGCCTGTTAAGATCATCGACTTCATAGTTATTGTTATTGCTTAAGTGTCATAATTATACATTATTGAACTTTAAGAGACATTAGGTTGGTTATTCACAATCTGCGTGTATAGCTGTGACAGCTGTGACACACTCACGAAGGTCCGACCTGATGCCGGGTATCCTGTTTGTTGTTGTATTTGCGGGGATGGGGCGTGTTTAACGCCCGCCTACACCTGTTTGGCCAATATGCTCTCAGCACTGATTCACGTGTCGCAACGTGGAGTCTCTTACTATCACTGGAAACACTGATCTTCTTGAGCATTCTAGAGGAAACATAGTATATTTTCAGACGCCCGTTGCTTATCTGTTCAGATTACGCAGAAAATTCTTAATGTCACTTGCCGTAACTTCTTTGTAATGATCAACACGGAGACAGATTATTCGTTAATTTCTATACTAAGTTACGTACTGCAGTGAGTCTTCACTGTATCACCTGAACGCACCTACCAGTGATAGAGAATTAGTTTAAACATCATGTGCACTCAACTATAAGTCTAGCAATTCCACTGTAGTTTTCAGTATGTTGATAATCCATTAATAGCATCGATATAGATACATTCATGATGTAGGACTGCATAGTGCTATGCTACATATCTACTACTGATTCTGCATCACTCTATCTGAGGAGCTAGATATAAATAATTGCCCTGTCAGTACACAACACAGCCGTCCATATTACGCAAAAGTTTATCCAAAGGCTGACATACCAGACGTGTTAACTGCGTGAAGATAATGGTTGTGGTATAGGACACAACCACTGTTAGGGTAAGGACTTAAAGTCTAGAGTTGGTTTTGGTCTTTTTTATGTCATTTATGACATAACAAAAATATAGAGGACTATCTTGTGAACAGCTGAGACTCACCTGTTTTTCTATGTTTGGCTTTTCTTCTTGAACTTGGGCAGTAGCTGCTGAAGCAGTTCCTTAGCAGCCATCGGTCTTTGAGTGCATGTGCTCTCATTGGAAAAGTGGAATGTGGTGCTCTCGCGGTGTGAAGAACCTGAGCAGCTGACTTTGGATTTACCATCTGTGGATCTTCTGACTGTACAGCAAGAATTAAAATGCAGCTGAGACACAACCACAGCATCGTTATCACTGCACTAGATGTTACATGGTGGTGTCCAGTACTCACAGCGAATATCTGCATATAGGTGACTGACTGTGAAGCGGTTCCTTGCCCTCTGGACCCCAGGCTATACGTTCAGCCATCAGATAAAGTGTGCATCCCTGCTTCCTCTGACGAACCTTTTCACCACCGCAAGCACTCTCTGAGGTGATGCCATGGCAAAAAGAGAACTGAAAAAACATTTAAACTGTTGATGATTATCATCAATAATCATGTCCTGTGTATGGATTCTGCCACAAAGATAAAAAAAAAGATGAACAGGGCGTTTGATAGAATTGTGTTTTACCTCTTA